TTTAATAATTTAAAAATAAATTCCAGGACGTATGATAATGACAACTACAGATACCATTCATGTTAAATACATTTTTGAAGATTCTCTCCTATTATATTACACAATGAATAGACATTTTAAATGGTAATGCAGACACATAATTTTAAGTCACAGACAATATATGCATATTAAAATTCTGTATTCTTTTGATAAGGTAAAAAATAAAGCTATATAAACTGATCTTTAGATATTTTCCTGCAAAAGTAGACACTTTCCTGACGCTTCCAACACACCTCCATTAAAGCTGTTTATAGACACAGTATCAGAAAGATTTTCATTCCTGTTCACCCACCTCTAGCTTAAAAAAAGATTGCATTTGCCAACTGATATTTTTCCTGTTTTGAAAATATCAAATGGGTAACTTGGAAAAGCAACATAGGATGCGAGGGCCTGTATACCAGACTGTTATACCGAGTCATCAAATAAATAATAATTTTAAGATGAAATGAAAGTGGTTGCAGTAGTTCAACACTAGTCAGAGCAAAACACATGCACTTTGTGTTTCAGGGAACGTGGCTGGGAGCCTCCTTCAGACACCCTGGACACCCGGCCTGTGTGCGGCAGCTCGGAGCAGCTGCCGTGCCTATAGTCACAGCCACACCACCCCAGCAAGCCAAACCCTGCCGGTCCTTCTCCTGAAGATGCCGGCACCACATCCCAGGATGGCAGGGGGGCCAGGCCCTGGGTGTTGTGGCCAGCTTGCTCACTCCATCCATTCAGACACTCAGGAACAGGCTGACTGGGGTCCCAGGGATGCCCTTGCCCAGGTGGCCAGACACTGCTGTGGCCACCTCACCTCGGGGCTCAGCTCAGGGGAGCTGGACCTCCCCTTGAGGAAGGGGCCTCATCCAGGGCGCCGAGTCTCACCCTAGAGCAGCCCCTGGCCTGCTCTGCACAGACCTGGGCGTCCTGCCAGGAGGGACCTCTTTATTCCATGGAGGCCCGGGATGGGGATCCGGGAAGCCCTACCTCCCCCGCCCGACCAGAGGCTCCTCACAGGGCCTGAAGGAGGCAGGATGCCGTGAAGGACATGGAGCATGCACACGTGAGTTTGTGGCGTGTGGACATGGCACGTGCACGTGTGTGCATGTGCGTATGTGTGAAGGAGCTTCATGAGTGTGTGCGGGTGTGTGCATGAGCGAATGTGGAGCTGACAGCCAGGGAGCATGGATGCAGCAGGCCCCTCACGCATGTGTGGGGCGGTCTGCGTCAGGCGCCCAGTGTGAATCAGGGACCGCCCGTCCTGACGACAGGGCATTACAGCTGGCGGTTTATCCACATGTGCAGTAGCGAGTGAGAGTTTCAAAACTACGAAAAGTGCTTAACGTTGACACTACTTGCTTCAAAGTTAGTTTAAGGCAAGTAAATACTAACATCTATGAGGTGGAAAATTGCATTAAATCATATCTGAAATGTCACTTCACTGAGGTGGTTCTAATATTTTTATTTCTATCTTGTGCCACTTGTCCATTTCAAACTATCAGGCATATTCATTTAATAATTGCCCAAACAATTTTCAGAAAGACATTTCGGAGCATGTGAAGTTTAGTGAGTTTGACACTGAGACGTGTGTCATCAGAGGTAAATGGTACTGTCTCCACACAAGCAGGACTGGGGTACAGCTCACTGAACTGTCAAGCAAGAATCTTCTATTTTTAAGGCTAAAGGATGGACATTAAAAACAAAAACCAAAAAGCTAATCACATTGGGGATTAAGTTTTAAAAAAAAAAAGCTGATGAAATTATAGCAAACCGCGAAGAAAAACCATAGCAAATTAGTGGATTCCAAACATGCTGCTCAACTAATCACTGCCCCAGAAACCATGAAACAAAGAGGTGTATGTGGAGAATAAAATCAGATCTGAAAATTCACATTCATGAGAATGAAACATTCAGCCAAAACTCACACCAGAATTTAAATGTGAAGTGGCCCAAAATTTCATAAACTTAAAAATGAAAGCTTTAAAAACATACTTTAAAAATTAGACAATATGTTAACAAATAAATGAATAAAAGAGATAGAAACAGCTATGAAAATACTTCAGTGCAAAGGCAATTTTAAGATTTCTAAAAAAATACATTACAAATAATTTGTTAACTGAACATACAGAGAATCTGTCCCCCAACAGGTATTACGTTTATACCCACATTGGGTTCTTAAAAAGGGCTGTAAAAACGCATACACCATTGTTGGTGGGGTCAGCGTGGGCCGGGGCGCCAAGCACGGCAACACACGCAGGCGGAGGTGATGCCAGGGACCCTGGGGCAAGTGGGTGTGGGCGGCCCCTTGTCTGTGCTAAGCCGCACTCACCATCCTAATCTTTGGTGTGGTGCTCGTACGTCACCTCGATATACCCCAACTAGTGTGTTCACGGTTCCAGCTATCGATTTGTCCCCTCTTCAAATAAATATTTTCTCAGTGAAATATTAAACAATCAAATGGTGAAATCTGAACTTCCAAAAACGCCTACTACAAGTCCTTAGAAACGGACCCAGCTCAAGCGCCGGAGCCCCGGCTTCAGGGCAGGACGTCTGGCTGTGGGCGAGGCGCTGACCTTCTGTCGGTGTCTGGCTGATGCTCTTCCAGAAAGCAACAGTTTCAATGTCTGGAGTCTGAATCTCACACTGAAATGTCTTCTTTAGACCATTAAGGCTACGTCAAAGAGATCACTTCCAGAAACGGAGACAGCGGCACAGAAAGGGACAGGAACTTCATGACACAGCAGCCTTCTGACTGCTGACCCACCCCAAATACACACCGGACACAGTCCCGAGACACAGAGAGCCCCGTGGGAAACACAGACCCAGGCGTGGTGAAGCTGCAGGTCACGGTCTCCAGGTGACACTGCTTATCAGAACCTGTCGGCCATCCTGGGGCTGCCCCGTCAGCCGGATGCAGGTTCCTAGACGTGAACGCCACCCCTGTGGCCACCTCTCCATGGAGACAGAGGGTGTCTTCCCATCACAGCCAAGCATCCCAAACCATCACCCTGCCTGACACCCCTGCAGCGAACAGGTCCCAGGGCGAAGCGACTGGCGACTCCGTCGTCACGTGTGGCAGATGGTCTCCCCGCACTTCTGCTGTGAAGCCTGAGCCGGGCAGCCTCGCTGAACCTTATTGAGGTTTTCTCCACGGTGGCAGCGGTCGAACGGGGAGGGAGACCCTCAGACAGCCCCAGCACATGGGGTCAGGTGGCTTAGACGTGACCCATGGGAAAACCCGAGTCTCAGATGAGCAAGGAAGTCCAGTCCATGTGTCTGTGGGGAGGGACATGACCACCTGCGGGTCTGCTCTGGCTGCTCCCACACCACAGGCATTACAGTGGCAGCTCCACCAGGCTCTATGACAGCGCAGGCGTGACGTGTGAGCTAGACGCCACAGTGGGGAGTGTCCCTGTGTTGCAGCCACGGGCCACTGGCCAGCCCTTCTCTTCAGGTGGCAGCGACGCTGAGGAGGGTGCAGACATGCAGGCGGGGGCAGCCTCCACAGCTGCAGGAAGGATGGCCGGGCAGAGCCTCAGTCCCTTTCAAAGTTGAGCTGAAGGCCGGGAGGCCGCTGGGCTTGGGACGAGTGACAGCCAGCATGCTGTGCCCAAGGGCAAGGTCTGTGACCCCTCCTTCGCCTCCTGGTGACCAGGAGAACCTCACGCACACACAACACTTGGAGCACAGCTCGTGAGGGCCGGGACTGAGAAGCGTCCATCACACTGGCATTTCCAGGCTGGACCCAGGGCAGCTGCGTCTCAGGCTGGAACCACAAGAGTCCTGGGCAGGCCCCATGGTGGGAGGTAGCGTGGCGTATTCCTCGCTCTTCCAGAACGTGAACGCCACCTCCTGAGGGTGGGGGCCCCGGTGGGCGGCCGAGGGACAGGGCCTCTGTGGAGAGACAAGAGGGGTCAGTTCTGAAATGCGGTCCCAACGCTGTGCACAGGGTTCTGTTGAGAGAACGAGACACAGTCAGTCCCAGGAAGCTCCGTGGGCACCTACACTGACCCGAGCCACTTCCAGAGGCAGCACCTGCCACGGCTTCTGCAGGAGTGACCGGACTTCATCTTCAGGGCAGGACAGGTGGGGTCAGGCTCAGGCCCCCCCACCACAAAGGCCACACAGAGGCGCTGTGACTCTGCACACAGGTGTTAAGCACCTGTCTTTCACGGTGCCTTCAAGTGACCGGTCACGGTCCCAGGGAAGAGCAGAGCGGGCCAGGAAGGGTGAAGGATGGACAGTGCACACGAGTCTTCTCCCCACAACTGTTGTGATGTGCAGCGAATGCTCACAGGCCCCAAAGACCCTTGGACTTGAAATGCTAACCCACCACCCAGGGCAGGAGGGACAGGGCTCCCGGGAGTGATGAATGTCGCACTGACCACGCCCGCTCATGTCCCTGCCTGTTACCTTTCATGTCACCACAGATGGGCGGGCTGCACGGATCCTTATGAATAGCCCCGTGGGGTCAAGAGCTCTTGGGAGCACCGTCAGATTTAACTGGACGGGGGCAGCGGGCCAGGTCCGTGTGGGGCACGAGAATGTCTGGCCAGACTGGGAGCCTGGGTCAGCAACACCGCACGGGCGCACGTATCTCCAGGGACACGGCTGGCAGACAGTGAACTCACACCCATGCCCGCAGCGGCCCGTGTTCAGTGCAAACCACGCCATATTCCAATTCAGATTTCAAAACAGGATCTGTGCCCACAGCCTGCCAAGCGAAGCTGCAACCCCCTCGAAGGACCAGGCGGGAGCCTGTCTGGACACAGCCAGTCAGGCTGTATCGTGCGCATGCCTGGTCTGAGGGGTGCTGGCCGTACGTGCGTGTGGGGGTGTCTGTGCACGTATGTGTGTGCTCGAAGTGTGCTCCACATGTGGGCACGTCACCCTCAGGCCAATGACTTACCTGGGACAGCAAAGGCGCATGTGTGTAAAGAGTTTGTCCTTTTCTCATCATGAAACTTAGTTATCAAAAACAGCACAACACAGCAAAACTTTGGAGGAAAAACAGTCTGAAAGAGTCACAGCACACCAGCCTGAGCACCCAGCGCAGCAGTGGCCATACCGTTACCTAGCGTCGAGCTAGTCGCACCCCGGCCGTGGTAAGAGGTCCTTCAGAAGTGGCCCGTCGCTGCTCGGTGTGGCACTAACCGGTGCCTTGTGTTGCAAGCTCTTCTGCAAGGACGAGGAAAGACACTGAGACGGCTGTGGCAGGATGCAGTGGGGCTGTCGGGCCAGTGCCCACTTGCACCAGAAGCACGTTCCTGGGCCCTGCCCCAGGCCATGATGGCACTGACCTGCACCATCTGTGGCCCCACGGCCAGGACTCTGCACGGGGCTCTCATGGAGCTGCCCATCAGCAAGGGCGGCAGGGCCTCTACCGGGCAATTGTCCACTTTCTTAACAGGACTGCTCCCAAGAAGAACCTACACCCAAGGACTAACAGGTGGCACAGGGTTCATGGAACAGGTTTCAGCCCCCATGGGAGAGGCAGGGCATTCAAGGTCCGTCAGCTGGAAGGTCCACTGGGCACTTCCAGAATCCCAAAGCCACACGTCCTGCCACAGGCCCAAGCTTCCTCAGCACAGGTGGCCAGCGTGCCCCAGGGACAGCCGCTGTCCCATCCTGCCAGGTGGAAGCATCCCCACCAGCCCCACATCCTAAGGCCAATGCACTCAACGGGCTGCAGGTGGGCGGGCCGGGCGTCTGGGCACTGAGATTTTTTCAGTCGAGCCTTCCTAGTTTCTCAGTAGCAAGGAACAAGGGAATTTTGAGAGCTGAAGAAGGTTGAATCACACAACTGCAGGTGTGAACTGGCCAATGTCCGGTGAGGCCAAGGCTAAACCAAACTCAGGGTAGCATGATGTAGAATTAATATGTATATGAATAGAAGTGTAGACAGACAGAGATGCAAGTACACATACATATAACATATATGTTACATATATGTAATATACCTGATGCCTGTGACTTTTTTAAAAAAAATAGGAATAGGTTACAAGAAAAACCCCATCCATTTGAAGTAAAATATGTTCAACATAAGGACTCATGAAATGTTTATTCCTCCAAAGTTTTGCAGAACTCCAAGTGGTTTTGCAGCAACACAGCAAATCCTTGTGTGTGCCGGGAGCCTGCTGGCAGCAGGTACCCTGTGGTAAGGTGTGGGTGCTGGCCGTGCCCGCGGTGTCACGCCAGAATCAGGGCCCTGGAAACCTCAGCGACTTCTCCAAGCAGCTGGCGCCCAGTGTCTGTCTGCATATATCCAGAAGCAGATCAGCTCTTCACAAACTGCATCAGTATTTACAATATTTTTTTTAGCCCAGAGTGGGCATGATTTAATCAGTTTCTTAAGGACCTCTTGTGACTTATTCAAGTGTTCTTAATAATTTCATCCTAAATGTTTTCAAGTACGTAAATTGATGAAATTGTATAATTTATTCTAACAAATTCTGATGACACCAAATTAGAAAAATTTTGATTGCCATTACTTACTGGGACTTAAAAAACGTACCATCTTATCAGTTTAAAAATAGTGTTTAAAATACATAGAAGATGAACTCTTGTTAAAAGGAAAACAGGCCTTTTTCTTGCGGTACGCATTTTCCTGTGCTGCGTTGGTGAAACAGTAACATCAAACACACTAATCTTGAGGCTACACAAATGAGGCATTTAGGTGCACGAACAAACAGCTGAAAGGCAGGCAGAACGCCACCTCTAGACAACGCTCATCCTCTGAAATCTTGGCTCTGGGCGAGGTGGCTTCGATCCTGAGCAGCTGCCTCAGAAAAATGCTCCGTGCTCCGCAGATGGTGCTACGTCGCCGAGGAACACTCTACAGCCATTTAAAGGAAATTAGAAGCTTTTCTGAAAACAATGAAGTCTTTCTTTAAAAAAAGTGAAAGGGGAACTTGGTAAAACATTTGACAGGACAGTTTTGTCCCCTCTCTGTGTACAGTTGCGAGGCTGAGCCTGGCCGCCTTCCCTGCGGTGCTGTGTGGCCCCGAGCACACCCCTCGTCCGCCGTGCTGTTTCCCCACCTGCAGAAGCGGCGCCCAGAGCGGAGCATGTAGCGAGGGGTCTCGCGACTCGTCTTCGCCGCCTGCGGAGAACCGGGTGCACTGAGAACTGTGCAGGGCTCGTGTGACTCACGAACCGCAAACATCCACACCTTCGTATACAGGACCGACCTGGCGACGTGAGAGCCCGCGGGACATGACACTGAGGCGTCACAGGTGGGACCTGGTGTTCTCAGGGGCACCGAGAGAGAAACGTTGCTGCGGGTAGAAAACACAGCCCACAGCCGCTGTGTAGACCTCAAGAGACAAGCGGTCACGGCATTTCTTAACGGGGCTCTTATAACCAATGACACCAGAGCGTGTTATTCGGCCGCTCCGGGTGACACATGTCAGCCCTCTATTGTCCTGTGACCATCGTCCCAAACATGCAAAAAGGCAGAGAAGCATCACCTGGTTCCGTTAGAAACTCAGACTGCTGGAAGTCTGAGAGAGCATAAAGATGGTTGACTGCTCCACAGAAAGGCACTGGTTCTTAGCCTGCCAGTCCCGGGCGTGGGAACAAGGCGGTTATTTAGGCAAAGCAGGTTGGAAGGCGAAGGGAAACGAGGAAGGAAAAGAGAAACAAAGAGGTGGTGAGTTGGTTAAAGGCTCCCACACCCTGGCACGCATTGGCTCTTCCTCCCCCAGGAGGGCCCGGCCGTCCCCGCTGTACACCTCCTGGGCTTCGGTTCTGGTCGGTTTCTAGCGAGGGCTGCTGGACTCTCAGGGGACACAGAGACACAGGGACTCCTAAGCGAAGGTGGGACAGGAGGGGTCCTCCCTGGCACTTCCAAAGTGGCTCTGCAGGGCGCCGTCCCACATGCCATCCTGGGACCAGAGGTTCTGTGGTAGCCCCTGAGAGCCTCAGGGAGCCCTGAGCGAAACGTCCTCTTAACACCTGCAGAGTTTAACTGCACCCTGCTCAGGCGGGGACCTTTAGCGGGACTGTCTCGAGGCACTGAGACGCCTGTGTCCCTGCTCCTGCCTGCGGGTGGAGGGGAGGCCTCCAACCCCAAAAGCATTCCTGTCCTACAGCCCTTTGATTAGACAAGGTGCAGTGGGATCGTGTGTGGATGTTCTCACTGTCGCTGAGGAGTCTTTCTGTCCGGAGGTTTTGTTTCCTGGAGGTGTGGGGGGTGCCGGTGCCAGGGCTGGGGCTGGGGCTTCCACCGTCTAAACTAGCCTCAAAGCCCCAGGAAGGGCTACGGCCAGGGTCCCCTTCCAAGTGCTGGGCATGGGGTAGGCGGGGCAGTGCCAACCCCAAGGCAGGGCTACCTGTTTTCTACCCCAAACACCAGCCAGTGCCCCATGGAGAATGAACCCCTGCTGAGTCGGAGCCACAGGGAGCGAGGCCCCATCTCACAGAATGATTGGAGATTTCTGGGGATCGAACTTGAAAATCTGCATTTTTAATAAAGTCCTGAGGGACTGTGACACAGGTGTGCCCTGGACCACCAGGTGAGAACTTCCCCATTGTGTCGTCAGTAGACAGTCAGCAGAAAGGGCAGTGAGTGGGTCCCGGCCACTGACTGTTGGGGTGGGTTCCTATCCCACCCGCCCTCAGCCCCCACAGAGCTCAAAGCCAGAGCTGGGGCTGCTCCAGAGACAGGGAGGGACAGCAAGGCTGGGTCCTCGCCTCCCCAGGGCCCTGCACCGGGCGCACTTTGCACGGGTCACTTCCTTCCTGTGCCAGAATTCAGCTTGTGGCCAAACTCGGGAGTGTGGAAAACAAGCAGCCCCACCAACGCCCAGTGTTTCCTAATGCAGATGCTAACGTTTGCGGCCAAATTCACCATCCTTAAAAATTATGTAATTTAACTTTTATAAAGTAATTATTAATTTTAAAAATTTGGATGTAAATTGTTTTTTGTATTAATCCTTCTTCTCATTCTTTTTATCATTTAAGATGACTGTTCAGGTCTAAACTTAAAATTAAACGTTGGTCATCTTGAACTTTACCCAGTTTAATGGTTAAAATCATATATCATTATGAAATTTACTAGTCATACTTGGACTGATCACATTTTCATAAAATTCAAACCTTTTCTACTTTTATAATTATCATTTCCCAATCTTAAAGCTAGGAAAGTAGAGTGTGCACGGCCCCAGCAGGGGCAAGCGCCTCCGTACCTGGACTCTCTCTGTCGCCGTTGGCCACAGCTGCCTGCACAGCACTTTCTTGAGGACGTCAGGGAGGAGGCTGACCGTCACCAGCAGCACGACGGCCAGCCAGGCAGGCCCGCTGGACAGCATCTGTATGAACACGTAGTACATCCTTTGGTAGTTGAGGAATGGCCTGTGGGGTGGAGGGAGATGGAACACAGACGGCAGGTCAGCAGGAGAGACTCGGCCCTGACACCTGTTCCCTGCTCACTCAAGGCAGCCTTTTGTTCTGGGAGTCACGATATTTGTCACTGACAGTCACCGGGAAGCTGCGTAGCCACCTGCTCCAAATTGACCACATGAGAAACGGGATGTGGACCCTCCCCTGTGACGCTGGAGTACTACGGATGGAACGGGAGGAAGGGATTCCACCAAGTCATCTCCAAGGCAAAGATAAGGTCCTGACGTTTGGTTTCTGAGCAGCAAAAGAAAAATGATTAAAACAGCAGCTTTCCTTTATCTCGGAGTCTTGATCTGATCGATGCTTATTAACACGGAAAAGACATGCAGTGCCATGACTCACACAGCGGCGGCTACCTGGAGCTCGTGCCATCAAACACAGAGCTCAGAGCTCGGGACGACGTTCCGACCAGGAGCACTGACGACTCCAAAAAACTCCCACGCGGGGCTCTGTGAAGGAAGCCGGCAGGACGTGGAACTGTGGGCTCAGTGCAGACCCGAGCCACACAGCCCCGTCCTTACACGTCGTCACGGACACTTCTGCACAGCTCTGGAGGTGCGGAGACAAAGCCCCTCCCTCCAAGGACACACAGCTAGACTGGAGTGGACAAGGAAAGAGGACATTCGGGCACAGCACGGTGAGGGACAAGGCACAAGTGCCCAGAGGACAGGCAGGCTGGCTGGGACCCACCAACTGTCTTTCTCAGTATCTTGGCTGGAGGAACCGTGTGATGCATCCCCTGGCCACTGGGGGTCACCAGCTGACCAGGGGAAGGGAGAGCAGCGCAGCCCCAGGTCAGGGCCCTGTGGGTTGGGGGCGTTTTCATGCCATGTCCAGAGGCAGCCCTCTCTCCTGGGTGCCGTGCTCAATGTTGGAGACATGGAGTGGAGGGGACGCTGGACTGGCCCGCGGCCAGGCAGGACCAGGGTGAAGCCAGCTTGCCCAGTGGGAGGCGACTTGTGCCCGGATTGAGGCCCCAGCTCCAGCCCTGCTCAGGCGATCCGGTTTCTAGCAGCCCCCATGCACAGGGGTGTCATGGGGACACAGCCAGTGCTGCCACGGAAGTATGAGCCCGGGCTCTCGCAGGAAGCGTAGGAGTTCACAGGCTGTGCAGAGGCTGCTGTGCTGGCACTGAGATGGATGCTGGATTCTCCCAGACTGATCACAGCAGCCTCACTTCCTGACCGGTTTAGCACCACCATCTCCGAACTCACCGCCCTGTCTGCGTGGCACTCGCCAGCCATCCTTACGCGCACCTACCCCGGTCTTTGTAAAAGAGCAACCTGATGCTGCTGGGCCTATGGCATCCTCCTGTGACTGGTCAGCTAACCGCCACATCAGACCAGAGCCAGGACCCTCCCGCTGACTGCTGTTGTTCACTCCTGTGGCCACCAGCCTGGTCCTGAACCTTCTGCTGGGCCAGAGACCCCACCCTGCAGCAAGAGACCCCACCCCCGGAGCCAGGGACCCCACCCCCAGGGCCAGAGGCCCCACCCCCGGAGCCAGGCTGCTGAGGCCCAGTCCAGCCCACTGGCACTGAGGCTGGTCTCATCAAGATATGGCCTGGAAAGCACTCGGCACAGTGCCTCATTCCAGGAGGCATTTTAGTAAGTGTCAGCTATTGTGATGATGGTGATTTTCTTCAGGTTTCAGTTTAAAAGACAACTTTTTTGAGCCTGTCATTATGAAATAGTCCCCTTGGCACGGTGTGCCATCTGTCTGCAACTGCTCACTCGTACGTGGTGCTGTTTGGCTCATGTGTCTTCCCCCAAGCGTGTTGGTCACAGGAGCAGCTTCGGGTCTGGCCCCCACTGCTCCCCAGGGACAGGCAGGACACCCAGCACACCGGAGACGTTCACCAAACGCGATCACAGCAATCGAGGCTGTACAGGACACATGCTTGACCCCCAGTGAAACAGGGCAGGACTAGGAAGGTGCAAACAATCATGTAATGCTTAGCAAATTCTTACCAGATAATTCCTCCCCAGAGCAGGGAAAAGACGATGTAGAATAGCAGTGAGCCCCAGATGACAAAGTGGTTTATCCAGGTCCAGTAGTGTGTGTCTAATGCAAGCTAAGAGAGAAGAAGGAGGTGGTGAGCAGTGGAATTCCCTGAGCAGCCAGTGTGAGCCAGGACAGAGAGGATGAGCCAGAGGAATGAACAACAAAACAAACACAAAACCCACGAGGACGACTGAATGCCTACAGGAAACTACTCAGGAAAACAAACAGAACCTTCTGCCGTCAGCGGAGGAGAGGAATGCTGTGACGTGGTGGCCCTTGTAGTAACAGCTTTCCCAGTAACCCTCACCTGGACCCCGGGGAGGCCGCAGGGCCGTAGAATAAGGCATGGGTCCATATTACTGCCCAAGAGAGTTCCTTCAGGAATTTTTCTGTATCACTTTTTAAGACTCAGTCTGATAGCTTTGGAGACTTTCGTAATGAGACTCTAAATAGAATTTGACTCAACTTTAAAAAGAGCTCAGTCTTCCAAAATACATGAATCTGTTTCAATTAAGATGCATTTTGATTATACTAGGGGGGTAGGACCAGTGGCCATTTAAGACAATTCTAACCTGAATTCTTTACTAACGCAGGGACCCATTCCTCAATCCACCTTTGGTGTGATTCTCGAAGTTTGCATCTGGCTCCCCAGGTGACCTGAGCCACCACTGGCTGTTTAAACATAGTAGGTGACACTGAGGACAGCCGGACAGCCCAGGCTGGCCTAGAAGGGGCAGGAAGTCTCTGGCCTTGGTGTGGATTGCGATTCAAGGGGTTCAGAGGGGTGAGACCCACACGTAGCAGAGAAACGTGGACTCGATGTCAATTACCTTCAGCGTGACTGTGAACACCATCACCGTGAACACGAGCATCCCAAAGGTCCAGTTTCCAAATATCTGGGAAAAACAGTCCACGTCATCTCTTGTTATTATGTATTTTCTCTCTTTCACAGTCAAAACAAGTTTTAGAAAATACACCTCATCGTTCTTGAGACCAACACTTTAAACCCCAAAAATACAGAAACTGTGTTTCCTTCTTACTAAGTAGAAGTTGGCAGTAACACCAGGAGCCCAGCAAGGCCCGGCTTCCTGGCAGCGTTTCCCACCGCAAATTCTGCGCCCGGGTGACCGGCTCACAGGCCACCTACTCTGAGCTTTCTGCCGCCCTCGGTCCTGGGCCTACTCGATGCTCTCAACCGCAACAAATGTCGGTCTCAAAGTCAGAGCATGAAAAACACCCACCTTTAAATACACTCGGAAACTCGGTACATTCAAACCTCTTTTTCTTTTCAGGTTTTATATGGAAGAGGCATTTATCTGATTATCTCACTATCCTGCATGTTTCAGGCTTAAACTCAGTAGAGTTTGTGTCAATCTCCTTTTGAACTCAAACACCTGCCGACTGTTGTTGACGGGGAACAACTGCTAGAACATTCTGTGAGTAGACAGCTAGAGAAGACACCAGGGCATGGACAGGGGAAACGCAGGAATGGGACTTTCCTTGGGAAGCCTCGGGAAGGGAAGACGTGCAGACACACAGGACAGAGGCCGCCCTCCTGCTGCCAGCCCAGCCAGAACCACGACTCGACAGCAACCTGCAGAGAAGCCGCGGGCAGAGGAAGTACCCAGCCAGTACCCAGCCAGACCCCTGCACCTGCCTGGCCGGACGCAGTGGAAACTGGCAGTTTGTGGGAACAGACACGAATGAAACCCATGGAAACGACACATTTCTCAACCACAGACAAAGACACAAGCAAAGTAAAGGGGCTGCTCCTTCACACTTCCTTCTCTTAGAGAAAACCAATTGATTAGAAATTTTGCTCTACAGGAATTGTTTTCTTTGAGGAGATTTTTACACTACGTAAGAATCGACTGGTTTCTAGTTTGTCAGATTCTGTCAACTGTGCCCCTCAGAGAACATCCCTATTACTGCTTTAAAGCAAAATTAAGTTTTAGTTTACAAAGCGAATACAAATGGCTTTTCTTTATCGTTAGTTTTCAACCAAAGAAATATGCCCACAACTACACCCCATAATTCAACCCAGGTGAAAGTGGATCTGAGTCCTTTGATGTATTTACTGGGGTAAAACGTTATGTGCAGAATTCTACAGAGCAAGTGCAGGACGTTTTGCAGCGAACACTGACCCGGGGTCCCCAGGAACACCTCCTTCCTACCTCATTCTTCGTTGCCTTGTCAGCAGCAAAACTAGGCCCTTTCTTTTTGCTTGGAAACATCAGGAGGACACAGCCACTCTGCTCCAGGAGACATTTGCCACGTCTGGGGACATTTCTGCTGTCACAGCTGGGGGAGGTGCCACCGGCAGCCAGTGGAGAGGCAGGGGTGCTGCTGAACACCCGGGACAGTGGCCCATGGAAGAATCATCGGGCTCCAAATGTCAACAGAGCCAGGGTTAGAAACCCTGTCGTGCGCCCACTGAAACGTGTCCCTCTTCAGTGCTTAACTTTTGGAGCAGGAAAACTCTGTAACTCTAAGACTGGTGGCAGCTTGGCAGCAAACTACAAGAATGTTCGGACAATAGGTGTCGGGAGCATGTGGCTGTCTTGTCTGATTGGAAGCTGACGTTTTTGCCAAAGGGAGAACCTATAGTCAGGTGAGGGCGGCTCTGCACCTAGATGGGAATGCCAGCCCCCAGCCTGGCTCCCTGCTTCCTCCCCAAGTCCCCTCACTGGCCATCCCAAAACAGAACTCAAAAAAGAAAAAGGAGATAAAAGCAAAATGTGGACGTCAAGTGTCCGTAACAAGGAACAAGGTGCCACTGGAAGCACCCAAGTCTGGGGCAGTGGTGCCACTTGACCGGCTCCCTTGTCTCCCTCCCGCTCTGCCTGTGAGGTGCAGCCCTGCCTCTGCAGCGCCCTGGACTGGGTGGACTTTAGCCCGCCTGGAACGAGCAGGCATGCCTCCTGGTGCCTGGTGCAGCAGGACACGTGGGCCACAGGTACAGTTTTTACGGGAAAATAACAGCAAGCCCTACTGTCTTGGGCCCAGAATCGGGAATTCTGTCAGGAGCCCTGGGGAATGTGGACCCATCTCCTCTGCCATCGCCCCGTCCTCTGCAAGTTCACTCACTGGGGACAGTCACCCTGCAACTGTCTCTGTAACGTCCTCTTAATTTCCTTATTTGTTTCAAGTGGGAGCCCGCAGGTTAGTTGCCAGTAGTACATTTATCATTGCAATTGCTGGATGTTAGTTATCAGGACCTGGGGAGGTGGGATGAGCCCCTGCACAGCCATTGTCTTTCTCAAAGCGGGGTACAGAGAGACAGTTTCTTTCCAAGTGACATCAGCCCCACCCCAGTGATACTCCTGGTTCTGATTTCCTCGGGACCCAGTCCTGCGTGACAACACGACTCAGCTGAGGACGTGACCGAGTTGATGGCCTTGTTCCCGTCGTAATAAGCGTCCCAGTAGAATCGTTGTTCAGCCTGGGTCACCTTCCACTGGGTGCAAGTCTAATCCCACCCGGAGAATGAGTATTCTTGTAGGAAGAATCCTGCTAAAAATGCCGTCAAACCCAGGCCAATTTTATGTGTAAAAATATTCCATGACAAACACAAGTTGTGTTTTGTCAAGGTCATGGTCATGGCATGTCCTAAGTTCCCTTTCTGCGAGGATCGCAAAGTCCCATCAGGGCTGCTGCTCTGTTTGTTTTGCCCACGCCGTTGATGGCCCACATTGCAGCTATTCTCTTGTCATTTCCTGACTTCTTTGATAGCATGTTCCAAACTTTTAAGTGTTCATCCAGGAATACCCTGATGTTCAACAATAATAAAATAACTATTGTCTTAGGATTCTCATTTGTGGCATCGAACTGAGAAATAATTATGGCTTATTATATCTCTGCGGAAAATGCTCCATGAGTGAATTTTTCTTTTAAAAAAAGCTGTCAAGAGTTCTCTTGTTCCTCCAGGAGTTCACATGATCTATAAGATTCCTATGGAATGATTTAGATCCTAAAGAAAAGAGTCTTCACCTACTGACAGTCACTAGAAAAGAAAACCCAGACCCCAGCCTCACGAGGTGCGTGCTGGTGCCAAGGGAGCTGTCGGAAAGAGGTGGGTGCTGCAACCACCCAACCGCTACTTCAGGACCGAGAGGGTCATCAGTCGCCTATGGCTGTCCTCCTACAGAACCAGCCTCTGACACCGTTTCTGGATTAGTGGTGTGAACTGACACCCTCCCCAAAACAGAAACCAAAACATCAGTAACCCACAGAGACCAACTCTCTTGGAGACACCAGGGCACAGCAGGAAACCAGCTGCTCCCTCGGCCTCGTGCTGGCCATGAAGCGCCACAGTCATCCCGTCCTCTGAACTCTTTCCTCATATGTGATGCAAACAAGTGTCCAGTCTGCGAGTCGTCACTATGATGAGGTGCCATGACTATGTTTTGTCCTGAGCACACAGCTGTAAGTCCTGGGGCCCAACCCTGTCTGCGGCTTTGGTGCATCAGAACACATGTGTCCTCTCAACTATGTAACCAGGGACCAACATCTCCTGCCAGCTGGCCCCCACAGCCCTGCGCACCGGCTCCTGTCGCTCCCACGGACCACAGAAGGTTGTGTGGCAGCCATGTCAGGCCCCCTGGGGCTTGAGCTCTCAGCGAGGGCTGCCAAGCTCCTGCTGAGGAGCGGCCAGGCTGTGAGGGCTCCCTGGTGTGGGCAGCGCTGACCACTGTGTTTCCTGTCCTGGCCTCTCTTCCTGTTGTCGGGTCAGATTCTATTAGCCATTCTGCCCACTGGTGTCTGACCACAGGAGCGCAAGTGAGGGTGAGGACAGAGCACCACAGAAAAGCATCACCCTGGGCTCAGTGCAGGATTTATGGGGCCTCTAGGCACCTGCAGGACAGTTGGGGAGCAGAACATCCACGGCCCGGGACACAAGCTGGTGGGAATCATCAGCCCTAGGAAGGGCCAACCACACACTAGGGCTCCAGGGACCCAGGGACCCGGGAGGGGGGAGGCACTGTGGAGGCACCTGCGGGAAGGCCCCAAGCATGCTCTCTAGAACAGGGGCTGCCTGTGTCCCCTCCCTGAAATCGCTCTCCTTGGGGCATTCCTGGGAAGTCCCTGTCACTCTCACTCTGAGACAGAAAGGATTGAGAAGCAGCAGGGGAGGACCTAACCCTAACCCTACAGAATCCTGCACCAAATTTCCAGTGTGAGTTCGTTACCTGACCTCGTGCTAGTCACTTAATGTGTATGAACTTCAATGTCCCCAACCTTCACGTGGCGTTAAGCCTGACAGTGAGAAAGGCCGATGTGTGCTGGACTAGTGGCGCGCACCACAGTTATGGGCAGGCCACCGGGTCCTGGATCCCGCTTCTTAGGACACAGCACCTTAGTTCTTCTTAAGACACAGGAAGATGCTTACTTAGAGCCTGATCCACAGAGAAATCTTATAAAAGATACGTAAGAATTGGAACATAGCTCTGTTTCACTACATTTAGTGGCCTGGTGGCATTCAGGAGTTATTCAAGTAAGACAAAGAACAGATATTAGAAAATGTAAAGATTTTACAATAGTCAAATAAGATTTTAATAAATTGTCAAGGTCAATTTAGTAAAAATTGATTTAAGTTATAATAATAGATGACAGCACCTTCTAGTGAAGAGGAAATAGAAACAATGAAATAAATAGGTAAACAAATCACACAGGACATGTGGCGAGACTATTGTATTTCAACCCAACAGTCTGAGGAATAAACAACAAGAGGAAAAGAGAGGTGTTAGGTTAAACAGAAAATGAAATAAATTTCTGATTGTAGGTTACGCTACAGGGGTTGCTAAATAGAAGTTTTCTCCGCTGTCAGCGGGGTGTCTATCTGAACAGCCAGTTGAATGCTTGTGACATGTAAGTAAGGACAGGACTTTGAAGTCTCCCCACACCTCTCCTGGCTCTCTCAGGTAGCACAGGTGTGCTGTGCTCAAATCCACGTCTGCAATGGCCTCACATACCTGCGTATACTGCCTTTTACTTAAAGTTGAGGGAAGTTCAAACAGATCTAGTCAGTTCAGAAAACATCCCTGACTCAACTGGCGACCCTGACACAAAAAGCCAGAGAGAAAACACCAAGTGCAAATGATCAAAAGGTGCACACACCTCTCTGGCGCAACTTGAGCTCTAACGTGAGTAGAGGGCATAGCAGCTAACAGTATTTCTACTGACAAAGCACACAGAAGTCACATTTGAAAATATTTTCGAGAAATATTTCATTTGTAATGCACTCCAAAAACACAGAGAAAGGACAAACCCACAATCGTCTTACCATGTGTGTGCTGGTAGTCATTATCTGAGAGTGGGAAGGGAAGCAAGTAGCAAAAAGAAAAAAAGCAAGATACAAATAAAACAAACCCCCAGAAATTATGCAACAACCAGAGAGATGAACGACCATTAGAAAACTATACATCTACTCATTGCAAAGGAAACAGATACTTCAGTACAGTGCTCGGGGAGAAATACTACAACGTGCTAAATATGAAATTAATTCCCATATAATGCCTGAATGATATAATTGACCCCCTAGATAGTTAGCTAATGATGAACTGTAAGTTACACAAATAAAAGCCTAAAACCCTTAGAAGGATATTTCCTTTCAGTTGGTGGAAGGCTCCGCAGAGCGCAGCATTTACCAACACATAGCACTAATAGCTTGTGTCCTTCACAGCGATTCGATAGGTAGATACACAGATGTGTTTATCTAACCCATCAGGCTGTACTGCATTCCCGCTGCGACACAAGGATGGAGGGTTTTGAAGGGCTAATTCCCAAATAGCTAAGTCAGCAAAACTGAGTCCCATACTGACCTGTCCGTTGTTGGTCACTGTTGTATTTTCAAACATGAAATAAGCACCAAAGAAGAATACGAGAGCATCAAACAGTCCTAAGCATGTCCAGTAGATGAACACTCGCCAGCGGAGTAGTGCGTTCTTGGCGATGTCTCTGCACAAGGAAGATGGGGGAAAACTGTGTTCTGGTGATGTCAGCACACGGCCTCCCTGGCCGCGAGGCCACCTCCGCCACACTTTGGAGTGGCTGTCCCTCTGTGTCTCGACATGGCAAACCACGTGTGCCCAATAGACAGCACGTTTGTGTTCTCTGGCAGCAAATGCAAACTGTTCTTTGGACATAGTTTCACTATACACAATGTCCTTTGGCTGATTTTGTTTGAGTATTTCCTCTCTCATTCTTAACTGTAATGTCCTTACAGGCAGAGATGCACACTTTTGCTTCTGAAAATAACTAACATAGAGTACAATGCACATGCCCGACATTCTCCAATTAATGTAGACTGAAGGCTTCACATTCACTCCCCAATTCATGGTGTGATGTCTTATGCCTGCTAGTTCAGTACGACAGAATTTGCAGAGTTCCCTCTGGGAGCATGTCTAAAACAGAGTACACTCTCCTATCTTCTTAGATTTATTTTTGACTATCCAATATACACGACAAACTCAGAACTGTGCCTTTTCATTGTCATCCTTAGTCACCTACAATGATTGTTTTGGGCTCCAAGATTTCAAGATCCCGTATAATGGCTAAATGTTCTGCTGAGGGCAGCAAAGCCCATGCAGTGGACTCCTGCGGACCCCGGCAGATAAAGCAAACAGCCTATGACTGCGGGGCTGGGTACAGGAATTACACACATGGGAAGACTGCACAGAACTAAACCTGCATAGCATGTGCATGCACACATGTGCATACGAGCACACACGACCATACATGCATACACACAAGAGCACACACACGCACACACACACAGGCATACATGCATGCACACACTACATTAGCACATGTGTACACTTGCACCTGTACACAAGTACACACACATGCACAGAAACGAGCACACACAAGCACACATGCACGCATGCTTGGACACACACAAGCACACACACACACACAAGAACACATGCACACACACAAGCAGGAGCGAAGCCCGGCAATCTGAACGAGATTGGTGAATGTGACAGCATATCACGGTTTCTGACTGGGGGACACTGGACCAATCAGGCACACAGAATCCAGCTGTATTATTTCCTACAACTACATGTGGAACTAAAATTATCTGAAAAATAAGTGTTTAATTAAAAAGACCACAAAAAATGGTAACACATGGAATCTGCTAGAGATTCCAGAGGGCAGTTCTGAAACGGCAGAAAAACATCTTTACCTTACTGTTAAAAAAAAACAAAAAACAAAAAACTTTTTAGAAGAAAAGAACACACTGAAATCAGGCCTGTTAACTCTTTTTTTTTCCTCACTGGATGGAACATAATAGTTTATAAAGGATGGTTTGGGCCATAAACTCACTGGGATCCCAATGGGATGGATGCTTTTACCCTGGTTCCTTCACAACCACCACAAAGCCCAGTCAAGTGCAAACCGGTTTCATGCTCATCTTGAATGCAACGTAAATCACCTAGCGACACTTGGAGTGTATTCACTTAAATCACATTGCTTCCTGTTTAAAGAATCTCCTAGAAGCAAATGTGTTAGCCGATGCTTGTCAGACATTTATTTTCGGGAAACTCTATACCACTCGCTTGTTGCTCTCCATGCTCTAGAGGACGGCTGTTCCGAGGACGGTACCTGTACAGGGATGGGTCTCTCTTGAGCGTGTCTATGCTAACGTGCTGCTCCATCAGGCTGTACAGGAGGATCGGGAGGGAGGTGAAGCTGATGTTGTACAGCGTCAGATACGCAGTATCATACAAAGTCTGGAGAAAGGAAAAAATTAACTGAAATAACACTGCACTGCAGTTTTATCAACTTTTTGATATTTTGATTAAATATATATATTTCAATACGTAAAGAACCACAAACATGCACAAAGCACATCTAAAATGCATAAAGAGCCATCTCTCCAGATGTAGAAGGACCAGGATGACTTCCAAAGCTTGAGGTTATGAACTAGGATTAAAATCACAGTGGCAGAGGCCTCGCCTTGGCCTGCCCCCTCTGCCACTGGGAAAAAAGCTGCATAGCAAGTTTGCAGCTCTGCTCAGCATCTTCAAGCTTTGATTACTCCAGTCCTGGTCACTTCCGACGAAAAGAGGTGGCTGCCATCCCTCTGTACACAGGTGTGACGGGAGGAGGTGCTGGGAGCCCCCGCCCCTCCCAGGGCAGAACTGCCTGCACCTCGCACGTGCAGCACACTCCACCAGCCAGATCCCGGGATGGCCCAGACACCCTGGAGGACCCCAGGTTTAGGCTGGTCCTTGCAGTTAGGGTCAGAAAACCTAGCACAGCCTCGCCTGGGCCTGGAGGAGGCAGGTCTTGGCACATGGCTCCCTGGCCTGTGTCTGCGAGATGCATCAGCACCAGAGAACATGGAGCCTGCAGACCTGCTCTGCGCCTGACCCTCCCTCCCGCCTGCTGACGGGGCACGCCGGCTTCCTCATCACCTCCCTGTGGAGGCTTCGCCCGCACATTCCCCAAGTCCCCTCTCCCTGCCACGGCCACCCACCCAGGAAGGGGGATGAGGCCCAGTGAGACCCAGACAGATTCCAACATGAGACGTTAGGACTGACCTGTTGTGAAAACCCACAGAAGAACTGGTACAAAAACTGAGGGAAAATGAAGCAGACATTCTGAAAGAGAAGTCACAGCCTGTTAGTTCAAGGGCAGCCACCGCTCACGAGGAAGGCACAGCTAACCCACTCCCCACGGGGCCTGTGTGCCTCGAAACAGCATGAAATGGGCTTTGGACATTCCTCTCATTTCAACAGCAATGACAACATGGAAGCCACTAAGTTCTGGCCACTCTGAGGACATAGTGCAAAGGGGAAATTTGATAGCTTGAAGAGAAACCAGAAGGGCAGGTAGGTGTCAGAATAAACAGGAAAGGATTAAACTGCACAGTGAATAAGGAATTATTCAAAGGGATTATAAAAGAATGCCCCATCCTTGGCTATTTTACAACTGCTATGCTCTTATTGGTTCTACACTCCATTCTGTGATGGTGAGAAAGTGCCGGCTCCTCTCGAGGCTCGGCAGCCCACTCCTCAGCAGGGGGTACGTCCCAAGACCCCGGTGGAGGCCGACACTGCACATGGTGCCAAACCCTATACACACTGCCTTTTCCTATACACACATACCTGGGATAAAGTTTAATTTATAAAAGGAATTGCGTTTTTGATTTGATCTTCTGCTTGACTGTTGTTGGCATATATGAATGCCTCAGATTTGTGTGTATTGATTTTGTAGCCTGAGACTTTGCTGAATTCATTTATCAGTTCTAGGAGTCTCTTAGATGAGTTACTCAATCATAAGAAATGACAGTGATCTAGCACCACTTACACTTTCCTGGATTAAACTTAAGCCCATTATCCAAAGTGGGGCACCACAAGAGCAGAAGAACGGGATCCATTTGTACTCACCATCAAATTGGTATTAACTAATCAACACATAAATGCACATACCAGAACAACATCTATTGGATGCTGGGGAAGGGGGAGGGCGGCGGGAGGAGGGGGGAGGAGGGAGGAGGGGATGGGTATTTGTATACACAAGGAGTGCAATGCGCACTACCCGAAGGATGGACATATTTGAAACAAGGACTTGGTGGGGGGAACCAAGGGCAACACATGTAACCTAAACATCTGTACCCCATAATATGCTGAAAAAAAAAAAAAGTTTAATTTATAAATTAGGCATAGTCAGAGATTAACAACAACATAAAATAGAACCATTATGACAATGTATTATAACTAAAGTTATATGAATAGTCTCTCTCTTTCTCTCAGAATGTCTTCACCCTTCTTTTGCGATCTGACCGGACCACGAAGACAGCTCCTAGGTGGCTTACAGATAGGGAGCACAAACAGCATAGAAACACAGGGCAAAAGGAGGAGTCATGTCCCGTTGGGACAGAGAGGGACAGATTTCATCACACTCCTCAGAACAGTGCGCAGTTTAAAACTTATAAATTGTTTATTTCTGGAATTTTCCATTTAGCATTTTTAGACCTCAGTTGACCATGGGTGATTACGGGGGGGCTACTGTAATCAGATTAACCCCTTCCTCTCTGACAGTTACTTGTTTTTAGATGAATGACCCCTTGGAGCACAGAGTCATTCTGACACGTCACGACTTCATGCACGGGGAGGGCAAGGAGACCCTTCCTACCTTGTAAAAGAAGTATTGCACAAGCTCAGATATCCTGATATAGTAAAAATGCCCGTGAACAAGCAGCATCTTCTTTAAATGCTTGAACTTCGGTATTGCATAGTCACTGTTCCTGGCGGCCTGCCGGCCTTCCTTCCCAATGACACCTAGGAGGGGACAGCAAAACAGGAATGTTGAAGCCACTGTTGTGAGTGTCCCCAGGAGTCAATGACTGGTCCACGGAGGGTGTCCTACATGGGCCACCTGCATGTTCTGATATCGCCTGTGTCTAGCTGACAGGGTAACCTAGTTGCCAGGTGTGCCCACCATGACAAGCGCTGGCTTACCTATGCCCACGTGGGCTTCCAGGATCATGCTGACATCGTTCGCACCATCGCCGATTGCTAAAGTAATAGGATGCTCTTTCGAAAGTTTGATTAATTTCACGATCTGTGAAAGAAAGAAATGCAAAATTTATCTTCCCTGTTTTATTTCTGCTCAAGTTATTCATTAACTAGGTAGAAATAACAAAGATGTAGTTAGTCTAGGGAATAAAAAACTGTTCACTTCGAGCTAATTTACTTCATCCACATGGTAAAATCTTTTTCGTGTTGAAAGCAAAACAAAGTAAAGCAAAAGTAACACGGTATGATTAAAATAACATGAGCTGAAAAGGCTTTGACAGTAGAGACATGAAATACATGATGTAGCTTTTGGTTACTGTTCCTGTATTTAAATATACTAGGGAGATATATTTAAATATATAGGGACAAATGTGAACACTGAATTCGGTTAGAGATTGCTCTTCTAAGGTAGCCCAAGCTATTTGGTATAAAGCATCTATTTTTTAAAATAAGACATTCCTAATGCTTTTTTAATTTTCAAATTTGTCTTGTGTGCAAAATAAAATCTGACAATTTAATACGATGAATTATTTCCAAGTTTTCTCTATAGTTTCTTTTTTCATTTATGTGCCTATGTGTAATGGTTCAAGATACAAGACTGAAAAGATACGGGAAATGTGTGCATTGTCTTCTTGTTTTAAGACGAGAGACTGAAACACAAATTAATTTATATGAAACGTTTCAAAGTCATTTGACTGATTACTTAAAAAAAAAAAAACAAAAAAAACCCCATGGAATACATGGAAAGCAAAGAGGAAATCCTTAGCGGCCTTTCAAGAAGTAACTGTCTGAGGTTTATGTAGAGTCAAACGTGTAAGCGCGACAGTAGGAAATAAAATCATTTTTATCCCAAACGGAATGTTTGTGAATTCAGGTATAGGTTGTCAGCCTTTGCTCCCGAATTACCCAGGGGAGAGCTAGTTCCGTGCTGTTAGTGGCATTGGCAGACAGGTGTCGCACACATGCACAAATGCTAACAGCACCTCCTTACACCTGGGGTTTGAAGTTTGTGCAAAATGCGTTTTACCTTAACCACTGGGTTAATCTGAGAAGTTAGGATTTCTTTAATAAACAATTCAAGATAAATTGGCCTATTTTACCTAAAATGTGGTATAACAAAGTTGGAACTGTTCTAGGTTTACTGACATCAGAAAGATACCCATGTATATTTTCACAATGCTTTTAACAGTATTTTGAAAAATGCTTCGAGTGTGTGTTTCCCACAAGAACAGGGCAGAGTGAGAAGTCTGGAGTCTGACAGATAAGCAATCAAATTCTACTGCTGTTTTCCAGCCACGTCCTTTTGGACAAGTCATTTCAGTTTGTAAAATGAGGATCCCTCCTCTCTCTAACATGTCATTCTGCAGGCGGCACACAGTAGGTATTCAGTACATGTTGGTTCCCATCCCTTCCAACTACAGTGTAGACTACAAATGATTTAGACACGATTCTATTTTGCAGAAGGCGGCCAGGACAGCTCTGCTGGCCTTCCATCTGGAAGGCTCACACATCTGACTCGGGCAACGCTCACTAGTCACTGAGGCTGATCCGACAAGCAAAATAAGATCCATGTTTCAAATTTCTATCGTTTTGGCCTCTATTTTAAAAAAGCATTTTGGCCTCTATATCAATCATGTCTCTATTTTAAAAAGGCGGTACCCTGCTAGATTTTTAAGAAATCAGGGATTGTGAGACCTAATGAAACATTGTCAGTATCTCATACGTCCGACCACTGGCTAAAGGACAGCAGGGACAGGACCTGGGCCTTCTGCAGGGGCGCCATGCGGCAGCACAGCACCGCGCTGCAGTTCCGGCAGATTTCCAGGAAGAGCTCTCTGTAGTTGCTGGAACTCCCGTCTTCTCGGGGCTTCATTATTAGAGACAGTGCAGCTCCATCAATAATTAAACCGTAGTCCTGCATGTCTGCTGAAAGTCTGTTAGAGTATACAAATCAGAAAGATTGCTCAATAACTGAATCGGTAGATTTTAGAAAACTATATATTTTGGATATCTACAGATGCTAGGAATCCATGGGATTAAGAAACTAATATTCCTGTTTATCGATAAGGCCTTTACATTATTGGGTGTGATACCTTTGACTACATTTTAACATGTGTCTTAATGAAACATGCTGATTTCACTTAGGTAAAGCAAATGCTCACTTCTCCTTGTGGGTTCGTTCATGTGTAATTTCCAGAATTTCTAGAACAACACAAGGAGAGTATCTTGCAGTCTAGAGAGGTCTGTCATTATCCCAAACTTCCTGGGCTCCGTGGCTAACCTAAGTCTTATCTGCACAGCTATCGTCTCCGTGGTTTTCTATCCAGATGACCCGAGTTGATAAGAACGTGGTCATAATTTCCACTTTGCTGAGTTTCAAAACTATAAGGAACATGTCTAATCCCTAAGAGGAATTCTGTAGATCAGGTGAAGGGAAATATATTTTTATGAATACATTAAAATTTGCAAATGATTAGAGAGATGCTTTTGCTTTGCTCACATTAGTGAAAATCTAAAATGATTCAAATAAAGTCTAATCACAGACAATGAGTATAATACCATCAAGGACAGCATGGATAAAACACATCTGAATAAACTGGTGAACAAGTCTTGGGCATACACCGTTCTGTCTTAAACAACTGTGCATCATTATTTCCTGACCTCCTCTGGCAGACGCTCTGCAGCATTGATGACAGAGCCCCTAAGTCTTAGAAGCAGATGAGAATTATCCCATTCAAAATATTTTATCAATCAATTGATCAATCATGTCTTTTTGCATCTGTTACTCAGCAGTTTGGGACTGAACATACACACGTGCACGAGTGTATGCAAAAAGACATGTCATGATTGCTGAAAAGAAATAGCTCCTATCTTGTTCTGGTGTTTATTTGACTCATGATGGTCCTGGTATTGATGCCCAAGGAGAGAAATGAATTCCCAGGAAGGATAATGAGGTTCTCTGATTTGCAAATGGGGGTCCTTCTGTCCAAACCCCCTTCTGTGGTAGGCAGGAGGGGACCATCTACCCTGAGAAGTTGTCTCTGGTCAGGCTCCCACTGCAGCGGAGGACAGTCTTGCTCAGCTCGAACAGCACATCGTGCAAACTCTGCTCCTCGATCTTCTTGGTGGTCAGCTCGAGCAGCTGTGTGTTCCTCCGGAAGAGCTTGCAGGCGTAGCAGGTGGCCGCAGCTGTCTCCATTTTGTCTCCGGTGAGAACCCAAACCTTGATCCCGGCTTTCTGTAGTGCTTCGATGGTGTCAGCGGCTTTCTCCTGGAGCCTGAGGAAGAAAGAACGAAACAAAACACAAATGAAAATCAACACCAACAAAGGCCAATGAAAATAAAGGATTTCAGAAACTTTTGAGGCTGTTAAAATATTTTAGCCTCTCAAAATTAAAAAACACAATGCTGCTTGCTCATGATCTTACCATAAAGTACCTGAACCTGCTTTTAAAGTGATGAATTAACCTTTTTCAAGAAACAGTTCCTAAGATCTGGTACATAAATACGGATAAAATAAGTAAAATAGTTGTTCTGTATGATCTGCGTTTGACAAGCATGGCAGTTTTCTGTCTAGCTGAGACTTGCTACTTGGAGAGGATTTTAGGAAATTATATGGACCATCATAACCAACAACAAAAAAACCTCGCCAATGGAAAAATGGGATCTGAAACCAAGGTGGTAACATTCATTATCTTTTCTTTTGGTATAAGCTGTTCTGTTTGCCACTGATCAAGCTGGAGTCCAGATTCCTCTAAATAATATAAAATACTGATAATAATACTAGTGGTTCTGTGACTAACTAATAGGTACCATGGGCTTACTGCATACGAGAGCCTGCGTGAAGCATCTTACAGGTGATCTTTCCTCCTTACAACAGCCGGTGGGGTAAGCACTTTATCACCCCCGTCGTATGTGTGGAAAACCCAAAGCTTGCAGAGGTTGGAAAACGTGTCCAAGGATAAAGGGCTTTCCTGACACTGGCCAGGCTGTGTCGCTGTCCTTGGAAGGTCTTGTATCAAAACCATGTTTGCCTCATGTTGGAGGTCTGCCATTTTTTTCTTATATTTTAGAGTCTTTACATTCAATACGCATGTGAAGTAAAGTGTCACGTTTCTATAAAGGACTGAATCAAAGGAATGGATTTAAATTCTAACTGGAATGATCTGGCTAGATTCTGGGAAGAATATCCTAGGTGCAAGTACTCTAGAGATGAAAAAACCACTCTAATTTTATAATTTTTCTTCAAAAGGAAACTGAGGCCCATAGACATTTGTAAATACGCTGGCTAGAGATTTTAAAAAAGTAATTTGTAACCAAATATCATCACTTTGTAATGCCCCCCTCCAGGCACTAACTCTCCAATTCTCCATGTCCCCAATCCAGCCAAGTCCATCTGCCCCACCACGCCCAAGCATGTCTGCTCTGCAGACAGCTCCCCCACCTCCAGCAGCCTCCACCCTCCCCCAACCCTGCCTTCAAGGACCAGCTGTCCCCTCGGCAAAGACTGTCCCATGGGACATCCCTCTTCTCCCTAAGAACGAGGCAGAGAGCTGTCAGCAGTAGGACAATGCCTGGGGTCCCAGCACCCACCAGCAACCAAGCCTGTCCTACTCGGGGCCTTGGGGTTTCGCTTTTTGAAGCCCACCCCTACGTACAAGGTGGCATGTCACGTGGGTGCTTTATGTTTTCACTCGGAGGGTATGTAACTTAACAGAACAAAGGACAAAACTACCAAACCACAACTTCCTGTATTGCCTAATACTCCATTCAGATTAGGAACTCAGGAAATATTTATTAAAGATATTGGGAAAATGGAGGGTTAGAGATAAGAATTCAAATTTGGGACCAAAATGGATCTTTAAGATGTTCAAACTTTATGCTTTTACCACTTCCAACAGATAAACTCTCAGTAAATTTCCTGAAGTTTCTGTTTCTAAATTAGGGTATTTTTTTCTCTTCTCCATTCCTTCAAAACAAATTGGAATCCATGCCTCTACTCTGCTCTCAAGAGAACACAGCAGAAAAGGGGACCATTTCTCAATAAACTAAGCTTCGACTCTCAGTCCTCACTGTAGAACCGATTAGACGCGCTTTCTCTGGAGGTGCTTGAAAAACTGTAATTGGTAATTTTACCAGTTACGATTATTATTAGTTTTTACAAAGTACTACTTTATTATTTTACGCTTCTTCAATAAGTGATGAGAAATACATTGAGTATGTTAAGATCTAAAAAGTAACACCTATATTTGAAAAGAACTAGGAACAAAATTAGAAACAGAATGAGTTACTGATTCCATTCTAAAGAATAATTTTAAAAACCCCTATATCTTGACTATTTATAACATGATGTGAAAATGCTATTGTCACTATTTTCTGGGAAAGTGTGATTTCAGACATCTTATTCGTGGATGGTGCCGTGACATGACTCCACACATGCAGGGGACAGATTAGCCTCTTCCTGAAGGACCAATATCCACATCGGATGTTCTATGGTTTGGAGATGGTTTGTTTGGCTCAGCCAGGTCTCAGGTCGACATCGGATCCCCAGTGTTGGAGGTGGGGCCTGGTGGGAGACCCCTCAGAAGGGCTTGGTGCTCTCTTCCCGGGTGTGATGAGTCCTCACTCTTAACTCCCAAGAGAGCTGGCTGTTGAAGAGCCTGGCACCTCACTCCTCTCCTGCTTCCTGCCTCTCCATGCAACCTCGATGTGTGGGCTCCCTCCACCTACCACCACGAGACGCTGGCACTGTGCTTCCTGTACAGCCTGCAGAACCGTGAGTCAAACAAACCTCCGTTCTTTATAAATTACCCAGTCTCAGGTATTCCTTTCTAGCAACACAGATGACTGAGACAGAAGTGCTGACAACTTTTCCTCAGCCCCCTCCACAGCCCCCGCTGGCAAGTGGCACCATTATTCCTCTCTGAAGATAAGGTGCATGTGTTTACTTTACCTGTCCTCAACAGCTGTAGCACCGAGCAGAATAAGATCTTTCTCTATTTGCTCATAGGCTTCTGCTAATTTTTTTTCTCGATCTTGGAGGGCCACTTTGGTAGCCTGCAGCAGTTTGCAAATGCCTTCATATTCTTCTGGGATGAGCCTTTTGTAGGCAACACACAAAGTTCGGAGCCCCTCCTAAGAATACAATGTAGCATTTAATGTAAATGCAAAGTGTCACTCAGACATTATTTTCAATAACTTTCTCAATATCCCCTTTTTCTAATTAGAATGACTAACCAAAGAATTATAATTCAAGTGACCTGAATTATTCACATGCACATTAAATATGGATAATCATTACGGATGGTAACATTGTCAGACTGGCAAGCCTGGAGATAAATAATACAAATCAGGGCCATGGCACCAAAAGGCAGACTTTGTTCCTTTATTTTGACAGTGCACAGTTACATTTAAACCTTTTTTAAGATATTAATTTTCAGTTTTATGGACAATGTTAAGCGATATTTATAAAGTAAACAGGTTTTGCACTGGGAGTTTATGAGGGAGTTTGATCTTACTCCATGAAGGCAGATGGATAGGTTATTTACCAAAATCACTGGGCGAACAGGAAAGTAAAATAAGAATTTAAGAATCACAAATTCTTTACTGCAATCATAATTCTGATGGTGCCACCCAGAGCAGGTGCAGGTGAGTCTCTCCCAGAGACTGCAGGGTCGACACGAGGAGCACTTTGCAGACACAGATTTCTTCACCTGGTCACAAAGTGTCATTCCTGGCCAGATGAACCAGAACATCACAAGGGTTCAGCTGTGATCCTGGGTGTCCCCTTCTGCTTTCCCTGTTCCCTCAGCCCCAGATCCACTAACAATAGTAAAAGAACCATAATTCTCCTTAATAACCACTTCAAAACCTGGGACAATACTGGTTTTTAAGATTTTAAAAAAGATTTTCCATTATATGCATTGCGACTCCCCATAACTCTCAGGGAACACTTCACACTTCTCCTCATTTCTCTCTCAGACCTCCAGGTTTGTCCAAAGGATGCCATCACTGCTGGTTCAAAGCTCCGTGGGCCCTGGGGCTCCCGAAAGCCACATTGAGAACAGGAAGTTGATGACAGAGTAGGGCTGCAAGAGGTGCTCTGCGTGTCTCAAGTGCTACTCTCCAGAAATGTTCTGGAAATCCTGGCTCTCCACCCTCAGACATTGTCTCCTTATCAGACAGGAGCAGTCAAGAAGCCCATGGACCTGCCTCAGAGGAAAACACTGCTCTCCCCAAGACTGAGCCCTGCAGCTGAAGGAGATGCGGCTCCACCCCGTTCCCCAGCTCCTGTTTGACTCAGTGGCCCCGGGGCTTGCTGGGGCTGCTGGTCTCCTCCCGGCTGTGGGTCTCTGGCTGCCAGCCCTGTCTTACTTCATCAACAAATCCCTAGTACCCAGTAAAACTCAACAACTTTTGCTGAATATATTATATGGTTGAAATGAGATCTTTTGTGTACCCATTGATAAAGCAGGGATATGAATGTGAACTGCAGAATCCATTCTCTGACGTCCTCTAAGAGGTAATAACACAGACAAGATACGTGGCTTCAGTGTCAAGCCAGAAAAACTGCATGACAAGAAAACCATTTTATGTGGATAATAACTCCGAGCTGTCCTGGAACTTCGGGTTGGTATGAACGGGAAGCAGAAGTTTCAGGAATAAAGGTGCTCTAGTTTGAGGAGGAGTAGACAGGGGACTCCCTCTTGTGGAAGCACAGAGAAGTACTCTCCCTATTCCTCCTGCCAAGTACCATTAAAACCTCGGGCACTGCATATCAAACAGGACTGACGCATATACAACAAAGCCAGACAAATGCAGCCCAAGGAAACTATAGAACAATATCCCCTATGAATATACATGCAAAAATCCTCAACTCCTAAAATACTAGCAAAATGAATCCAATAGCAGATTGGAAGGATGATACACCATGGCCAAGTGGCATCTGTCCCAGAAATGCAAGTGTGATTCCCACATATGAAAATCAATGTAATATTAATATATGATGTTAATAGAATGATGGGAAAAAAACCATATGATCATCTCAACTGGTGTAGAAAAAGCATCTAACAAAAATCCAACACCTTTTTATGATAAAACTACTTAATAAACTAGGAAGAGAAAGAACCTCCTCCACATGATAAAAACCACATATGGAAAGCCCACAGCTAACACCACACACAACGGCGAAAGACTGAAAGCTTTTCCCCCAGGGTCAGGAGCGAGACCAGGATGCCCACCTTTGCCATTCTCATTCACCACAGTGTAAGAAGTTCTAGCCAGAGCAATTAGGCAATAAAAAGAGAAAAAAAGGATCCAAATTAGAAAGGAGACCTTTCTAAGGCCTCTCTATTTGCAGATGACATGATCCTGTATCTGGAAAACCATGAAGAGTGCGCATCTTCCCCCATAAACTTTTAGAGCTAATGGAATTCAGCCAAGATGCAGGGTATGAAATTGACACACGGAAATCAGAGGCACTTCTGTATATTACCACTGAACAACCTGCAAAGAAATTTTTTAAAAATTCCATTTATGATAGCATCAAAAAGAGTAAAATATTTGGGAATAATTAAGGAGGTGAAAGACTTACAGATTGAAAACTACAAAACCTTGCTGTAGGAAATTATAGAAGACCTAGATAATGGAAAGACATCCTATGTTCATGGATTGGAAAACTTAATATTGCCAAGATAAGAACACTTCCCAAAGAATCTATCTACAGAGTCAAATGCAATCCCTTTCAAAATCCCAATGGCACTTTTTGCAGGAATGGAAAAACTCATCCTGAAATTCATATGGAATCTCAGAATAGCCAAACAATCTTGTGAAAGAAGAACAAAGTTAGAGGACTCACACTTCCTGGTTTTAAAACTTACTATGTAGTGACAGTAATCAAAACAGTGTGGAACTGGTATAAGGACAGACACAGAGAAGAATGGGATAGAACTGAGAGCCCCAAAATAAATTCTTGCACATAAGGCCAACTGATTTCCAATAAGAGTGGCAAGACCATTCATTGGGAAAGAACAGTCTCTCCAATAAATGGTGCTGGGGGAACTGGACATTCACAGGCAAAAGATTAAAGTTGGGCCCTTACATTACAAAACATACAACATTTAGCTCAAAACGGACCAAAATCCTAAATTTAAGAGCTAAAACTATAAAACTCTTAGGGAAAAACATAGGGGCAAATCTTCATAATCTCGGATTTGATAATGGTTTCTTAGATATGACACCAAAAGCATAGGCAACGAAAGGAAAAATAAACAGACTTGAAGGACAAAAAGAACCCCTCTATGCTTTTCTTTCCTTTAGAGACAGGGTCTCGCTCTGTCGCACAGGCAGTAGCACAGTGGTGTCATCACAGCTCACTGTAGCCTCGAACTTCTGGGCTCACGTGATCCACCTGCCTCAGCCTCCTGAGTAGCTAGGACTACAGGCAGGTGCCACTATACCTGGCTAATTTTTAGTTTATTTTTTGTAGAGACAGGGCCTGGCTATGTTGCTCAGGCTGGTCTTGAATTCCTGGCCTCAGGTGATCCTCTCACCTCAGCCTCCCGAAGTGCTGGGATTACAGGTGTGAGCCACTGTGCCAAGCCTTCTCTGTATTCACTTTACAAGTGTTTTGACTTCTTGTAAATCTGCAATTATTTCAAAATAAAATGCTACGGGGGGCCCTGCAAGCATCCCACTCACTCTCTGGCAAGCTTCCAGGCTGAGGCACAGCAAGGGGAACTTAGGTGGAGCTGAGAGTTGGGAGAATAAGTACCGGAGTTCCCAGGACTGGCCACCAGACAGCAGGAGGTGCCAGAGGCAGCAGATGGTCCCCCGAGTGTCCAGCAGAGGACAGAGGAGCGTGCATGTGTGAGGAAATGGCCAGAGGCCAGAACAAGCTATTAGGAGGACGGGGGGCAGCTTACTGCCAGGGGTTCAAAGGGCACTCAGCAGACAGAGCGCTGGGGCAGGCTCTGCTCTGGATCCACCAGACACACCATAAAGGCACTGCCCGAAAGGAACAAACTGTCTCCGAGGAACTCAGCCACATCTGGGAACAAAATCTGAGATCGTAGGAACAGCCTAGTTCCCAGGCAGGCATTCCGCCAGAGGCCACCACACGCAGAGGCTGAGTCCATGCCCCAGATGAGGACAATCCCTCCGCTGCAGCTGACACCAACAGCAGAGTCGGCAGGGAAGAAGTAAGTCACCACAACTGCATACACACGTACAAACTTAAGTGGGGCATGAGAGTACAAAATGACCCTGTGGAATTTCTGGGCACGAAAGCTCCCACGTCTGGAGAAGAACACCTGGACGGACCCTTGGCAGATTCCACGCCGCCTAGGAAAGATCAGCAAACTTGAGACACAGCGACAGCCACTGTCTAAAATGAAACACATGGAAACATTCTTTAAAAAGAAGAGGCTTCAGTAAGCTGTGGAATAACATCAGCAGTTGAGTACACCACTCATCACAACTGCTGAAAGGAGATATGATAACAGAAAAACTGTCTGTAGAATAATCACTGAAAATTTTCCAGACTTGAAAAAAGCCCACAGATCCAAGGCGCTCAAGATCCCTGAGCAGAAGAAACTTAGAACCACTTCACTGGGGCAGATCATAACCAAAAATCCAAAAGGCAGCCAGGAATGACATCAAATTTCTCAGGAGAAAGGAAACAGCTGTTCATCCCAGACATGCCCACCAGACATCAGCTCTTTTTCCACAACAGCCCCAAACTGGAAATAACCCAACATCCATTAGTGGGTGAATGTGTAAACAAACAGTGGTCCGTCCACACAACAGACTATTACTTGGCAATAAAAAGAAGTGAGCCATTGGTACATGCTCACGAATGTCAACATAGTTATGCACGATGAAAGAAGCCAGATAAAATGGCACATATTTTGTGATTCCATCGGTATGAACGTCTAGAAGGTGGGCGCTAATCTGCAGTGATGCCAGCAGGGCAGTGGTTTGTGGTGGTGGGGAGGCTTGGCAGGGAGGGTACTGAGGCATGAGGACAATTTTGGGGTGTTGGATGCATTCCCTAAGCTGACCATGGTCATGCTTTCACATGTGTACATATGCCAAAACTTACCTCTGTTCATATGTATAGATTAGTGTACGTTCAATATATCTCAATAAAGCTTCTTAAAACAAGAAGTGGATGGACTTTAAAATCACCACAGTCAACACAGTGCATGCTCCACTCTCTCCAGGACGCAAGCAGTGAGGATCTGGCAGATGAGGAAGCATTTGGGACTTGGGTTACGCATCAAGACTCTCCGTCAAGACCAGTCACATTGCACATATGGCTATGGGTGCACCGAGCGTCACACCTCAACCTGGTCACGATGGAACATGACCTCCCCGTGGCCCTGAAAGTGAACTGCAGATGGAGCCACTTCCTCAGGACACACCCTCATGCACCGTCGCACTAAAATCTGTTGTGTGTCCATGGGCTGTTCGTGTGTGCACGAGTGCCCCGCCAGTGCTTGTCAGCTCTCGTGCATCATCCATGCACAGAGCTGCCGCACCTCTGCAGCTGGGGGAACTTAGGGATGTTGTCATTTAAGGATCCTGCAGAAAAGCTTGACAATCTCAGTCCTGCAGCTGCTTTACGGATTCCTGTTAGTTCAATGGCAGCTACTCTGTGTGATCAGCAGGTGCTACGAGTGGTTTTAGTAGGGACTTAAAGCCAAGTGACACCGACAGAAGCATTTAACAGAGGTTCAACCTGCATTAGCCGCTGCAGTCATGCTCTCAGGACTAACAGGGCTCCTGTCCACTCAAGAAATTCTTAATGCTATATCTATAGTAAAGCAATCAAATATTGAGGCTGACAGTGAGGACAAAACTGATGACAAATGGAAACTCTGTAAGTGAAAGCAACGTTGAATATTCACGGCCTCTGTTCCAAGATTATCTTGGCTAACCCTCCTCGGTCCAGAGCAACTGTTTGAACTCAAATTGTGTGCTACGCAGGCACTTTAGTTCACATCCTCTTGGACCTCTGGGAGGAGCTTGTCATTACCTGCACAGAGGGTGACGGCAGGTGTAAGAGGACCTGGCCGGAGTTGGAGACAAAACCCCCAGAGGACATCCTCGATGACGACCACTGGGGGTGAGGAGAACGACGGGTGTAGATGCCGCAGGACAAGGTAGCCATGAGGACAGGAGAGGGAGGCCTCTGAGAACCAAGGATCACCTGGCTTGAGGGCTCTGCTGGAGATGGGGCGGTCCCCAGGTGAGAGACCCAGGCCAGCCCTACACCCACAGCAATCCCCAGAGAGAGAAAGCCAGAATGATGGTAAGAAGCTCAGCGTTGTCAACCAGCTGAACAGTGGTATTCACATTACGGAACTGACCAAGCCACAGGCTTAAGAACCAGATGCAGAAAGAAAACCAAGTAGGTGAAGAAAGTGCTAACTCATGTCTGAAGTGAATCACTGGAACTCCTTCAGGACACAGATCTACCTGTGCCAATACAGTAGCCACAAATGTGCTTATAGATCTGACCCCCCAAAACACCAATCCACTCAGCCCCCACCTCAAAATGAAGACACACACGTGGTCTGCAGAGCAGGTGGCCTGTGCGCCCCGGAGCAGAGGTCAGCAGGGTCTTCCTGTCTTGTTCACATGTGGCCCATTCTGCCTTCGAAATGTTCTCTTAGGGGACATGATATGACCTTCTCAGCCAGGAGCTTTGTGCATGGAAATCCCTCCCTGATGCAGGAGAACAAGGTGGCCGCCCCAGTCCCATCTTACCACTGCGTTCCGCTCCACCCTGGATCGGATCTGATCGACTTTGCCTTCGATCACTCTGGGGAATATTGATGAGTCCGCTCCTTTGCAAAACAGATAAATTTCGCCTATAAAATGAGGGGGACAAAAGGGATTTAATCACAATATGGAGAAGATTAAGTTATTTTTCAAGGTATGCTATTCTTAAAAACAAAACTAGAGATATCAGTGCTGAGACCATTGGAAAGAAGATGTTCATGGACCAGTTAACATGCTACAGTCAGGAAAAAAACTAAAAATACAGATTATCCCAAAGGCTCATTTTATTCCTACAACCCTAGAAATTGCATGGGAAAGTTAGGAACCAGGAAGAGAAACTGTCTCCCGGGCGTTCAGCCTCCTAACCCTTCTGTCTTCTCTCTGGTGCAGAAGCAAAGGAGCAATGAGTCGTCCTGAGACGGGGCTGGGTGTGGCTGACTCAGAAGGGGACCACAGTTTGCCGAAATACTGGAAGGCAAACAACAAATCCCCTCAGAAAACCATCATCCTGACACAGAACGAGATGTCTAGGTCCCCCTTGGCTTTATCAGGGTCACAGGACTCATTATTATTTTCCTCACACCCCCAGTAGTGTCGGACTACTTGGACCACGTTTGTGCTGCGAATGCTTCTCATTCCTCAAGACAGGGAGTTTCTCCTCCAGCTGAGTCGAGGATAATACTCTGGCATGTGGTAGAGACGCAGATGCCAGCTTCCATGTGACAGCCAGAGACCCATGGTCCTCGAGTAAAGACTCCGCTGGCCTGGGAACCATGCAGTGCTCTGCCAGGCAGCCTGTTTGTGCCATGGCTCATGGCAACTCCGTTGTATTCCGTCACAGCACCCACAGGGCCGTTTGGGGCCTGGCTGTAGCCTGAGCTACGTTCCTACGAAGCTCGAATGCCCGGCTCTCTGACCAGGACAGAGCCATATGCCTTGCTGGATGCTGATGGCCCACAGGAAGTATCTCAGGCCCCAAATCCTGAGAGCACTGGATGGGACGTGGACATGACTCATGCTCACAGAAGTCTACAATCAGGGTCAGCGCCAACCTGGGGCAAGAAAGGACGGCGGCAGGAATGCTGAACGGCGAGTACAGGGAGCTGCGAGAACAGGCTGAGCAGGAACCTGCTGGCACAGGGAGTCCCTCACAGACATGCCCACGAGACCCTGCGGGTTTATGGCCGAGATTCCCGGTTGCTCAGCTTAGGAAAGCAGGTGCTGGGCTGGTCATACCACCAGCCTGATTCCAGAACCATCCCCGACTGCCACACACAATTCCACCAATGCTCGTGCCTCATTAGATATGTCCTAGAGCAAGAACTGTAGTCTAGATAACGCAGTGACACATTCTTAAAAAATGGCATTTTTCCCCAGAAAAATCATGTTTTATGTCTCAGGGTGCGTGCAAGTGACTTGTGAATGGTTTAACTTCCCCACCGTCTTGACTTGTCAGATCCTTTATACCCACTGAGGACACAGGACACCTTCGGCCTGAAGACTTGGTCAGGGAGAGCCTTTGAATAAAATATCCGGAGGACGGAGCCAAACTTCATCTACAGGAGTTTGGCACCTGCTTGTGCAGCTCTGTGGACGAGCATGTGGTCCCTGACCCATGGCAGCTAACACTCGGGTGACAAGACCAGCACACAGGGATCAGGTCCGTTGTGTGGCTGTGCGTGCCTGGTGAGTGACTGTGGACAGTCCACTCCAGCATCGAGGGGGCTCTTTGGAACCATCTGGAGAAGGGCCAGGGATGCAAAACCAAGGCCCAAGCTCCCTGTGGGCTTGGCTCTTGCTGTGTCCCACACACACCAGCTCAAGGACATGGAAAACCACGCGTGACAGCAAAGGTCTCAGAAGTGGCTGCCTTGTGGTAGAAAACAGGATGCCTGGCAAGCAGCTCCAAGACAGTGCGAAGCTAGTGCTTTCCGTTTTTCCTTCCCCAGCGAGGTGCTACACAGATTGCTTAACATTTCACCTGAGGTGGAGATAGCATTGGCAGAGAACGTCCTAGAAAGCCAGGTTTCATGTCTCTCTGCAAGCAGGAGCAGCTCCACGGCTTGGACTTCCCAAGTCCTTCCTCAAAATCAGCCGCAGTGAATCATGTGAAAGCATGTACCGCGGGGACACAGGCGTCAGAAGTAGGTCTCCCGGAAGGTGTGGTGGCTGCCAGTGCTGCGAGCTCTCGACGGTCAGGGCTGCGACCCAGCTCTGACGGCTGCACCACCCCCACCTGCCCATCAGGAGGTGGAACCAGTGCAATTAGTGCACACCTCTGGGGAGAACAACTTGTTTAATTAAATATTCAAACCTTCCTTAAAATTAATTGAGGGAGTGGCTGGTTTCAGAGGACAGGCCACGCAGTTCCTCAGAGATGCCCTGGGAAATTTACAGACGTCTCCTGGTGGATGAGAACATTCTAATGGTGAGAATGCCTCAGACCCAAATTTTTAATGTGATCTAACTCCTTTTCAAAGCTTTTTGACAGAAACTGAAGTTATTTACGAAGATTCCATGGTGTAGCCCATGATATCAACACCAAGGTCTTGATAGTTCAGACATGGCAGAGACCGTTTGTGAGTGTGACGAGAGGCAGCTCCAAGGGTGGCAGGTGCGTCCCTTCCTGAGCACCGTGGTCCTCACCACGGCCTTGAGCAGAATCTCCCGCACAGCTCAACTCGGCTCCACATGTTTACAGGGAAAGCCACGTGACAAGCAGATTGATACGGTAATCCCACCATTCGATGCCTTTATTCTGGCAATTGAGAATGGCTCAAACTCTCAGTGCAGGATGGAGCAGCCTCCTGCATCTCAGCACACCTGGAATTGTCCCCAGACACTGTCCTAACAGGACCCTTTGTCCGGCTGACAAGATCTCTCTCTCTCTAGGAGTTATGGGCACCATGGTACTCAGATTGTTATTGTGTCCTGTGACTGTCATTGGAAGTCTAGTTGGCACCTGCTTTTGTCCCTAACGTTTGCGGACTGACTCGGCGGTGATGCTGTGGATGCCATGGGGGCTTGCATGCACGAGAGTGCGGTGTGACACGGTGGTGCACTCCAGGAACAGCCACTCGCATGATGCTGTGAAGAGCTGTGTTGTGGCGTCCTGCCCCACCCTCGCTGGCCTCAGAAGAGAAACAAACGTCCTAGTTGGAAGGTCAGTGTGGCTGTTGAAAAGGCTCCACATTCTGTCATTCACGCTGCAATGGGATCCTCTCAGGGCGAGTATCAGGAAACCGCTGACATGAAGCTCTTAGCTCCAGGGTGGCGGCTGCACTTGGTTGCTTACCAGGCATCTTTCCAAAGAGATAAACACAGCCTGGCATCGTCTCATTTTCGGAAACAGCGAAGAGCAAGATCCTGCGTCTCTTGGTAAAATGCCATTTTAAGTTGCACTGAGCAAACTGAATTTACCAGCATTTACTGCACACTCAGTGGCGGGCAGTGCTGTGGTGAGAGCACCACGCAGAAAAGTGTGAGTTCTGCATCAGCATGCTCTGGGTTACCTTGCAAAGGCCTTCCATGTGGACAGTCCATGCCAGGTGGGAGGAAAGCTTGGACTGCCTTGAGCAATAGGCAGTCACCTCTGCAGACCCTAGGGGCTTCCTTGGGAGGAAAGCCAGGCAGGAATCTCTAGGAGGATGCTGGGGGAGCGGTGCCTGCTGCGGTGACCAGAGGCCTGACGCACTGGGCAGTGACCACAGCGAGGTCCTGAGAAGCCCATGAAGAGCCACGGGGGAGCCCCCAGGAAGCTGGGTCTGTGGGGCCAGCCAAGGACCAAGAGCCAGGATAGCTGAGCTTTGAGTGCCAGGGAATAGAGGTGCAGGGCTGCATTGCTGTGGGGCGTGTGGTCCCTCTCATGGTAGGCGTTGACGGGGTGAGGACGGGGACAAGGCCGGATGTCTGCTAGCGCAAATGGGACACCATGGTGGGTGGGATCTCCTGGGAGGGCCTCAGTGGAGCCAGTCTGGCCAGGAGAGGCAGCCAAGGCCAAGAGGGAGCCACAGGGATCCTGAGGAGCTGGCTGTGCGGATTCAGGGACAGCCCAGAGCCCAGTGGACTTAAGACCACCCACCTGTGACAGCTCATGCGCAGAGGCTGCTGAAAAGTCCCTGAAGTGGGTGGGGGGGTTGACTGCGCAGCCCACACTGTTTACCATTCCCGCCTCCAAGGCACAGACAAAGTCTGTTCTCCTCAAATAAAGATGCATTGTTACGGCAACTGGACAAGCAACAGAGCTCACTTCATTTAGTATTGTGAACATTATTACAGATATATTTGCAGGCCTATATTACTTTTCCTTAAAAAATGATTTGAAAACATGCTGTTATTTAGATATGTGTGGAGGAAAGCCAGGGTGCTCATCAACAGGGTTAAACCTGCAATTTTCAGTAGTGAAACAACGCCAACTCAATACTAAGGAAGACACACAAAACAAGGCTGTGGGGGTTTAGCACAGCGCTCATTGCTAAACATTTAAAACAGTTTTACTTTATTATTTCTTTTCTCATTAAAAATGTTTGTTTTAATGGGTCTCAAAATTCTGTGTCAGATTTTTGGTCAAGTTGTTTACATTAAAAAATACTGATTTTAAAAACGAATAAAACAGTCACACAAAAAGAAATAAAAATAGTCCACAAAACGTTCTCCTTTCCTTTGGCAGGTTTTATGATGCATCATTATCATTAACTAATCTATTAAAGTTAAATGGTCGATTGAGACAAAGGGTCTGGGACATCCTCCACTGCTGATTGAGATGGGGGTGGCAGCGTTAGGGATCATCATTCAGCCTTCTGAGTTTCCTGGGCAGATTTGGCGGCCATATCATCGCTGCAGGCTTCTTGTCCCCTGCTTTGACAACACCCACAGCAACCATCTGTCTCATGTCATGAACAGCAGAGGACAGTCTAGAAGCTCTCTACACACAAGGGCTTGCCAGGAACCATATCGATGATGGTAGTGTCTCCAGATTTCAAGAATTTAGGGCCACCCTCCAGCTTCTTACCAGAGAGGCGACCAACCTTTTCCTTCAGCACAGCAGACATGCAGGCACCACGAGCTGTGTGACAGTCCAGTCCAGGGCATGGCCAGTGCTGACTTGGCCATGGTTCAGGACAATCACCCGAGCAGTGAAACAGCTGCTTCCTGGGAGGGCTGGGGGGGAATTTTTGCTGTCACCAGCAATGTTGCCACGATGAACACCTCTGACAGACACATTCTTTATGGTGAAGCCCACGTTTTCCCCTAGAAGAGCTTCGCTCAAAGCTTCCTCGTGCATTTCCACAGACTCTATGTCACTTGTAACATGACTGGAGCAAAGGCGACCACTGTGCCAGGAGTAAGAACTCTAGTCTCCACTCGGCCCATGGGCCAGCACCAACCACCAATTCTGTGGACATCCTGAGTGGCAGATGCCAGGGCTTGTCAGCCGGACGAGCTGGTGGCAGGATGTGATGCAGAGCTCCAAGCAACGTGGCTCCAGGGGCAGTGCCGTCTTTACAGGTGACTTTCCATCCCTTGAACCAGGGCATGTTAGCACTAGGCTACAGCGTAATCTCACCATTTTAACCAGAAATTGGCACAAATGCTACTGTGTCGTGGTTGTGGCTGATTTTCTTAATGTGAGTCTGATGTCTTTAACAATTTGCTCATATCTCTTCTGGCTGTGGGGCAGCTCCGTGGAAGCCATTTTGCTAACACCAACAGTTAGTCGTTTCACACCCAGCGTGTGGGCCAGAAGGGTGTGTTCATGGTCTGCCCGTTCCCGGAGATCCCAGCTTCACATTCTCCAACACCAGCAGCAACATCCAGGACAGCCCGAGCCGTGCCTGTAACCATGTGTCCTGGGGCATCAAGGACAGTAGTAGTATTTGCTGGTCTCACATTTCCAAAGGAGAGATCAGTGGTGACACCACGTTACGCTCAGCTTTCAGCATATCCAAACCCGGGCACCCTGGAAAGGGTGTTCCCATCGCCATAGCCTCTTCCTCCAATTTCTCGATGGTTCTTCTGTCAATCCCACATCTGTGGCTCAGACGGCCAGAGGTGGTGGACATGCCCCAGTCTGCACGTCTAACCAATGATGACGATGTTCATGTGAGTCTTTTCCTTTCCCATTTTGGTTCCGGCAGCAAACCCATTGCAAAAAAAAAAAAAAACTTTTATATTTTTAAATAAAAAAATAAGTATTATGAAAGGATTTATCTACATTAGAAAAAAAAAACAAGAATAAATGTTTCTTAAATCCTAAATCTTTGAAGTTCCTAAAAGTGAAGTTCCTAGAAGTGAGCATCAGAGTAAAACACAATCACCATGTATAATCTAAGAAATCAAGAGAAAAAGAAATTTCTACCTGTAGCAGACTTTACAATTACACTCATTCTTCTTCTTACTGAATCAAAGCTCAAAATTTCCAGCAATTCAAACCTGAAAAAGAAATGTGGACAGTTGGGGAATCTGCCTGGGTCTATGCGGTATCGAATCCGTGTAAACGCCAACCCCCCAAAGGATGGCCAGCAGCCCACCGTGCCCGGGTCCCTCCGAGAGGCCTCTGTGCCCAGAGGAGCCTGGATTTCACAGGCACGGCGGCAGCCCCTGAAGGGAGGCCCCGACCTCACCATGCCCCAGGCCAAGCCAGTCGCAGCCCCTAGTTTCAATACGGAGCGGCTGCCTTTCTCACACACTGATGCACTTCGCTAAAGCTGCAGGACACAGACCCGGAAAGTGGTATCGAGTTTTGGGATCCCCAATAACAAACCTTTAAGTTGATAGAAACCATAAAAAAAGCTAAGAATACTGATGTTCTAGTTCGTTTGTGCAGTATTATTACCAGAAAACTTGTAATATCTGTGTGTCATTTGGAACATCAAAAACAACTCAGCAACCCCTACAGCTACCTCTGAAAACTCCCTGGGGCTGAAGACCCCAGCAGGGTCTCCCTGCACTGGCGCCAGCCTGGAGCTGGGCATCCTTCCGCAGGGCCCAGACCTGCGCTCTAGTCCCAGCAGCGACCTCGCCACCTTTGCCATTGGAAACAAGAAGTCCCGACCACAAGTCACCACCTGGGATGCCCCTGTGGAGAGGTGCCCAGCTGGGGTCTGGGGGTTCAGGAGCCAGTCCTGAAGTCAAGGAGCTTCTACTCTTTGACCTGGGAATTTATTTTCCTTAAGAATGAAATGTTTAAAATCCAGTTCTTTTGAGGCCATCACCACCAAATCCTATGTCGTTGGCCACCCGTCTCTGCTCCTCTCATCACGGTAGATTCCTGCCATGACAAAGGAGACATGCGCCGCCCAACCTCCTGCGTCAGAACAAGGTGGGTCATGTGTCTCAGGGACAGGCAACTGGAGACCAACACAGTCCCAGAGACCAACACAGTCCCCGAGAATCAAAAGATCTTTAAAGACAGGAAAAGTAAAACACTCCACTGTGAAATTGGCCACTCAAGGCATCGGTGCTCGAACTGTCCTCAGTGGCGCGACATGCTCCTGAACACGCAGGCTGTGCTCTGCCTCGGGGCAGCTGCTCAACTGCTCCCCTTGTGGAGTCAACACAACAGACACCCTGAGGAGCTGCGGTAAAACCTGACTTAGGTGGCTTAACCCCACAGGGATTTGATGGCGAAACGCTTTTTCACTGAACACCAATTTACAGCTCCAAGGAGAACTGTCCGGGCCAGGTGGCCCTCAGTACCATCAAACCTCTCCTCTGACAGCCAGGCAGTCTCCAGAAGGTTCTCACATCATTCTTGCGGACGTTACAGGAAGGGGAGGGAGCGAGTTGTGCCAAGAACACAGAGACCTTGGAAAACCTTGTAAAGACCACTCTTCAAAGTGAGCGTATTTTAACGTTGTGTGGTACACACCTCTCGATGTCACTGTCCCTGTTGAGTATCTCCATGTAACTGTCTTTGAGCCTCAGATATGTAAAGCCCAGTCTGCAATGAGAAGGCAAATCCAGGGTTAACTCAAAATTCTGGTATCTCTTTCATGGAGTATTTGTTTTACATTTTGGAAAAGCTTTCTTTTTGAAAAACAAACACTTTCCATAAAACTGAAGTTCTAAACTGCATTATAAAGTCAGGAAATTATAATATTGAATTTACTCACCAATTCAAAAAATTCTCCCAGAGCAACAGAATTTCCACCTTACCCGACCCCCGCTAGCACCACAGCAAGGTGGGTTTTCATTTTGCCAACCCTTTTCAGAAAGGCAGCAGCAGCTCTGTGACTCACAAGCCCTGTTTCTATCAGTGTTTTGACTTTCTGATGAATGGGCTTTTTACCTTGCTGTTTAGCAGAGAATTCAAGGTCAGAATCAAGTCAGAGACTGTCATTCTCCAGGCCGATCCTGTCCTGACAGGGCGTCAAGCCCAGCAGGCAGTTCCCCATCCGTGCAGCACCCCATCCTGCACATCTGAGCCCAGTGCCCCTCAGGGCTTGTGGGCACCTGCCAGCTGGGCAAAGGGACAAAGGCACAGCTTCGGGCGGGTGAGAGAGGCTCACAGAGGACAGGGAGAGGGACGTACCTCCCAACACAATGTGCAGCTGTGAGGCCGTAGCACTGTGGGAACGTGGGGAAGCCCAAGGGAAGCTCAGCACTGGTGCATCTGAAGGCCAGGCCGGGACAGTCTGCCCCGACCTCTGACACCTGTGACTGCGTGCAGCTCAATTCCTAAGCGCTGGCTTTCCAGGAAGAGACATGTCTAGCTTTGGGAAGCCTTGCCCAGGCACGTGTGGGTTTATACAATAAAGGTCCGTGGTGATATCATTTGTGCATCTGGGCCATTAATCCAATTGCGTGAGGAAAACACACAACAAAACACTGTTCTGATTAGATAGGAGGCACTAACGTGTCATTCCTCCCAATCAGTCAGTCCTTGAAGGTGACACCCACACTACTGGCAGGTGGAGGGGAGATTTAGCGCCTTTACTGTGCATAAGAATCGTGAGCCCTGAGAATTTGAAAAAGATTTCCCTGACTTGACATTATGCCACACATCTGGAATGTTTAACGTATCTTCCCAAGTGTTTGCTTAAAATGCCGTATCTCATGAGGCAGCAAGAACTTCCAGTAAAAGGCTCTTCAAGGAGGGTGCACAGTGCTAATGTTAATGTGATGTGGGCCCAGGGAAAAAGCAGGGAATAGGAGACCCACACCCCGGCCCTGCTCTCTCTCCAAGCCGTGACCCTGGGAGCGCTGCTTCACATGTGGGCTTCAGTTTTCTAAGATGTAGGAAGGAGATTCGTGTTAAAGGAAGTGTGGGTTTCTTCCACCTTCAAAAGCCTGTGGTTGTTGCAGACTCACTACGGATGTGAGGAGGGCAAGCCACCCGCACAAAACAGCAGTAGAGGCTCGTGCACCAGGGCATGGTCTGCACTCACCATGAAGGGCCTCCTCACACGGAGCTGGGGGCCCCGAGCATAAAGGCCATGACTGCTCAGGAGACATGTGGCATCGGGGTGGCATCGATGCCATTCCCAAGATGAGGCCATGACTGGGGCTGGAAACAGGTGGAGCCTGACCACAGACATACGCTCATTCTGACCCACCTCTGCACGCCCTCGACCAGCGCCACCTCATCGGGAGAGGACGAGATGTACACGCAGGACTTCCCAGAGTCAGGTGACATCCTGGGGCCATCCACGTTATCACTGTCTTTCACCTGGACGGTGTGGCAGAGGCAGAGAGCCCGGAAAAACAGCTCCTCACGTTCCTGTTAAAATTAAAGTCCAAAAGTACATCTCTGCTTAAGACATATGGGAAGAACCAAAAGACAGCGGATGCAGGGGTTGAGGGAGAGTGGCAGGCGTGTGGCTGCCAGCTGAGGGCTTATCAGCTCTGCCTTTGCTGATATAAAGTGGAATCTGACTGGGGCTCTTCCTGGCTCTGGGACACTTGCACGGTGATTCGCATCAACGCAGACAACTGAGAGGTGCTGTGCCCGGCAGTGACACTGTCAGACACTGCAGGGGCTTCAACATGCTCAGAAAGGCCAACAACCGCGAAGCGTCCAGGAAAACAGCAGCAAAGGGCACCTTCGTGTCACAGGAGTGCAGCCAACACCCTGAGCCCTGATGCCCGTGTGACAGCAACACTCTCCTGACGGCTATGCACTTTATACCAGACGTGGCTCACGGAGCGCTGTGTGCACTCGCACAGTAAACTGCAATCTAAAAATAACCGATGAAGAGGAAGCTATTCTCCTGATTTTGTAGCTGCAGAAATGAAAGTTTAGGAAGGTGAACTGGTATGTTTGAGGACACAGCAGGCTGAGGCTCCCTCTGCCCTGGCTGCACGCTGCATTCCCAGGAGCTTGAAGGTTCCCGGGACTCTCGCGTGTGGCCAAGGCCAGGAGGGCTGTGCTGACACCGCACCTGTGCGGCGGGGAGGGACAGGTGGGGGCAGGGGGACAGGCTCCACCCTGACACATCCCCACAGCCACGAGACTCTGCAGTAAGATGGTGGTTGCTGTACCACAATCCACCTGGGCACGTGAGAGGGCGACACAGTGCCCTCGCAGCGAGAGGGGACAACTGCACACCCCTGACATGAACCCACCCACTCCTTGGCACACCCCACAGGGCTCCACAGTCGTCACCCATCTAGGAACCGTCTCCAGGCCAACACTGAGGACCCCAGCCCTGCCCAGGGTGCGGGGATCTGGAGCCACAGTGCTCAGGGGTGTGCACGTGCATGTCTGTGTGCGAGTGTGTTTGCACATACAGGTGCTGTGTGTGCTCACTTTACTTTCAGGGTGCCATCTGCCCTGCTTATCCAGGTTCTAACAGGTGATTCTAGCAGGGGTATCACTGACCAGGTTCACTCCACAGGCAGCCGGCACACACTGTGACAGGTGACTGTCCTCACTGGAGCCTGCAGGAGTCGGACTTTCCTGGACCCCAGAAGAAAGGGGGGTGTGGCACCTACCCTGCTGCTGACGCCAGGGGAGGAATCGATCATGTCAATGCCCGAGGAGTCAGGGAGGACCTGCCCGTTGCAGACGACGTGGGGCACATAGACGTGGCCTTCAATGCAGCACTCCTTGAACTCCATGTTGTTCTCCGTGAGGGTGCCCGTCTTGTCTGTGAAGACGTACTCCACCTGTGGGCACCGCACGAATTAGGACACAGGGGCGAGGTGCTGGGGCTCTCCAGCTCACACTCGTGGCAGCCGGTTTCCTCCCCAGCACCAGTTATAGCTTCAACAGGAGTGGATTTCTAGGGGTTCACTGCCTACAAACTGCAGGAGATTATTTCTTTGTCACATTAAACAAGTTTATGAAAGTCTTTGATTTCTTTTTCAGATAATTTGTTGCTGGTGTACAGAAATGCTATGGTTTTTGTATGTTAATTTCGTATCCTACACATTTACTGAATTTATTAGTTCTAACAGTTTTTTCATGGAATCTTTAGGCTTTTCAAGATATACGATCGTGTCATCAGCAAACAATTTAACTTCTTTCTGTCCTGCATGGATGCCTTTTACTCCTTTTTCTTGCCTATTTGCTCTGCCTAGGACATTGAGTACTATGTTGAATAAAAGTGGTGAGAGGGGCATCCTTGTCTTGTTCTTGATTTTAAAGAAAAAGCTCTCAACTTTCCTCCATTGACTATGACATCAGCTGTACATTTGTCATATACAGCCTTTATTAAATTGAGGTACATTCCTTCTATAGCTAATTTGTTGAGAGATTTTATCATGAAAGGATGTTGAATTTTGCTGAGTGCCTTTTCTGCATCAATAGATGATTGTATCATTTTTATTCTTCATTTTGTTAATGTAGCATATCACATTTATTGATTTGTGTATGTTGGATCATACTTGTATCCCAGGGATAGATTCCACTTGATCATGGCACACGATTCTTTTAATGTGCTATTGAATTTGGTTTACTAGTATTTTGTTGAGAATCTTTGCTACTATACTCATCATGGATACTAGCCTATAATTTTCTTTTCTCATAGGCAGACAGCCAATCCTAAGTCAAGTGCTAATCAATGCTACTGTCATCTTTGCCATCAGAACAAAGGCAGCTTTCGCTGCAACGTGGTCGATCGGCTTGCTTAACCTGATCTCACCAGAGACGCCTTCCAAGGGACTTATGCTCACGGATGGAACAGGCCCTTCCCTGACTCACTGAGGCTGTTGGGATAATCTTCGGAGCCTCAGTGTCTCATTTGAGAAACGTGATGATACTGACCACATATGGCATGGACATGATCACGTAAGAAGATGTGCACAGAGCACGTAGCACAGTGTCTCGAAGGGAGACAGTGCTTTAGTTGCGGACTCAGACACTGGAGTGGCAGGTGAGTTTCTCCTTCACATACAAGAGCAGTTGTCTTACTCTACTACATAAACGACAGCAGCGAATTTCACCCACATTGACCTGGTAGTCAGCTGAAACCTGTATTTTCTGGGCTGGTCCATTAGTCCTAACCTCAGTTCTGTGTCCAGGGGCCAGGTCAGCCTCCTGGCTGGAGCCAGGCTTTGATCAGCAAGACAGACATCAATTCCTGCTTTGATGGACTCCAGGGAAATGGAACCGGTGGGGAAGAGAAGGAATTTGCCCCACTCAATACTGCTGGATATTTCTGTTACTGAAAAAGTTCTTTCCCAGTGAAGTTCTCAGGAATACACAAAATATACCATCGATTTTTGCAAAGGATATGAAATACTCTAAGATAAAAATATCTTACTACTGAGCAACTAAATTATGATTTGTGCACTGCTGACTGGAACAGTAAGCCACCACATGGGTATAGAATGCCCTAGATAAACACACTGAAAAAGCCAAACTCATCAACAAAGGAAAGGCTATCATTCATCAAGGAATGCTCCTCACAGGAGGCAGATAAAGGCAGTTTGTATCTAGAGTTTGGTTCTATTGACAAACTGTTGTTTGGGGGCGATGATGGAGGTTTTGGCTACCAGTATGAAACCGCTCTGTTTGCAAAAATGCTCCTCAAAAGTTTTTCCTTTAAAGAAAAAAAAAAAAAGTTTTTCCTTTTTTTTTGAAAAAAAGAAAAGACAAGACGGAAGAATTACCATTTCCCAAACTGCCTTTCCTACAACATTCAGCCTGGGAAAGGTGGGGAGGCCACTCCTCTGGGGTGGGGAAAAGTGAGAAGGTCTCTCCCGGTCCCGGCCCAGGGCAGCAGATGTGCCCCTGCAAATCCAGACCTTTGCGGGGCCCTGGTGCAGGTGGGGGCGCTGCAGGGCCACAGCCACATACACCTGCGCAGTCACACCAGATGCTGCCCTGGGCAGGTATCTGTCATCACCCTCCTCTCACTGACCGAGGTACTCATGGTGTGGAGTGGGGAAGCCGCCTGCCTGAGCCCACACAGCTGTCACTAACGGCGAGATTTGAATGCCATGTGGGAATTCTGCAAGAAGCCAAGTGCCAGAAACTGCCCAGGTCTGGGCTTGCTCATCTTTAGAGCAGAGATGACATTCACCACTACCCATAAGACAGACGCCTGGGAGGGCGCTCAGCCACCTGGCGCTCACCTTTCGCCCATCACCCCAGTTCACACCATCAAGGCAGAGGGGTGCCGGGTGCCACCCACAGGCGACTATGTTAATCGGTTAATGTGATTAATTTTGCATTAAGTTACACACATAAAAGCACTATCAATTGTTATGCAAATAAAGTCCAAACAACAACTTTGCTACCATCTTTCACCAGTTATGGGTCACATCTCTGCGCATGAATTAAAATGGAAAAGTGTCACTCGACCATTCAGAGGATGGCCCAGTGACACACTCAATCATTACTGGCCATTCAGAACCTGCAGACCGGGGATGGGAGGGCGGCTCGGGCCGGCACATCACAGGGGACAACCCACAGACACTGACCTGCCCCAGCTCCTCGTTCAGGTCGGATGTGTTCACCAGCGGTCCCTCACCGGTGTCCTCGTCAAACATGTCCTCATCCCAGGTGATGAAGTAGGAGCCCAGGAACTTCTGCATCTCGACAGTGACGTACATGGACACGGGGATGATGTAGTTGAACAGGACCATGAAGGCGAGGAAGTCGGTGAACGCCCTGAGGAACTGAGAGAGCGCCGCGGCTGTCAGCCCTCCGCCAGGGAGCGGCTAGGTCGCAGCGGCTGATCTAAGACCTAAATGCAGGCACGTGCTGCACAAGGCTGTTATCAAACACAAGATTTCACAGTCCACAGATGAGGATTCCTCAGGGGCGGTGCCGCTGTTGCTCATTCGCTGCCACCCGATTTCTGGGCTGGGACCTGCTGGTGCCATCCCTGCCAGTGTCATGCCACCAGGGGACAGATTAAACCATGTGTTAAGACAGTTGTCTGCCAGTGATGGGAGACCACACTGACTGAGAGCCAATGGGGAAGTTTACTTTTGAGCATTCATGAGATTTCTTTGCAACTCTTATATAACCAAACTTACTAGGTAATAGCCTATAAAAGTTAATAAAATAAGCCTGGTAAGAATGACTTTTGTGCATACGTTTATTTTGATGTTTGAAGCCATGATGGTTTTGTGGGAGGGACAGGATGGGCTGACACACAGATGGCCCTGCCCCAGACTCAGTGCACATGGGCCTGGCCTGCTCGGAGCTCCGTGCACACAGGCTTGGGTTTGCAAACGCCTCTGCTGAGAGCTCAGTGCACACGGGCCTGGGTTTGCACACAGCTCTGCCCTAGACTCAGTGCACCGGGGCTGGGGTTTGTGCATGGCCCTGCCCCAGACTCAGTGGACACAGGTCTGAGTTTGCACACAGCCCTGCTCTGGACCCAGTGCCTTTTTTCCATGTACTCATCACAAACGTGCCAGGTAACTCATAATCATTACTAAGTATTTACTGGGCACCCCCTCAACAAAGAACACAGGGACATCCTTAGTCACAGAAAGGGAGTCGTTTTCCATACCAGATTCCTCTGTCTTTCTGACTCGGTTTTCTGATTATACCACGGCTCATCTCGAAATGGTTCACTCTGCCACACATACTTCAGCACAGTGTTGATCAAAGCTTTACTGATCAGGATGCAGAGGTACACGATGAGGAACACATTCATGGATCTGGAACAAAAGGACTTAACAGTTACTGAGGTATCATTCTCTGAAGGAACGAGCTCTGCGTCTACTTTCCCACGAACACAGAGACAATGCTGAGGGACACAACAGGAAAAGTACAGCGGCGTGTGCCGCGGCAAGTGTCCTTGGCCCACGCAGGAAAAATGAAGGCACAAGCTCGTCCACGCCTGCCTGCGTTCACTCCAGGGTCGCTGGCAGGTAATTCCAGAGGCCTCGAGGCAAAGAACCAAGTAAAAGGACAGTTTGTAAACAGGAGGGAAAACTGCACAGACCATATGGTTGACAAGGATTTCTGTGCAGTCTAGAGTTCTATAATTTAAAAGAACTCCCAAAATCAATTTTGTTAAGCAACAAAAAATGAGTTTGAAATTTACTGATAAACACTGGACGGGAAGGAGGGAAGGAGGGAAGGAGGGAGGGAAGGAAGGAAGGAAGGAAGGAAGGAAGGAAGGAAAGAAGGAGGGGGAAGGAGGGAGGGAGGGAAAGAAGGAAGGAAGGAGGGTGGGAGGGAGGGAGGGAAGGAAAAGTGACTGCTCTGAAAGGAAACATCCTCAGTAGAGGAAAATGGCTGATCCTTAACAAAGGTCTCAGCAGATCTCGTGAAGGTTTTATTTTCTAATCTCTATTTCTGAAACCTATTTTTCACATGTGGACATCTGGAACACAGCATTTTTGCTTATCAGAAGCCAATCTCCCTCTTTCCAACTGGTACAGCCACAGGTGCCCAGAAACCCTGACGCGTTTCCAGGTGGACTTGCACAGAGCAGGCAGGACACACACCCCCAGTCGCCTAGACAGTCAATAAACAGCACACGGCTCTTTACTAAACGGTTTGGTGACCACTCAGTTGTCCACACCAAGCAAGAAAATGCTTTAACAAGGGGCAAAGAAGACAAAATTCCAGGCCGCATTTTCTTACAAATTCAACCATCATCTTGATATATCATCATAAGGACTTGACTGTCTAATGAAGACTCGGTTCTCTCTGTGAATGCTTTTCTTAGTAAAACCGTATCAGAAAATACGTGGTTTCCAGCAAACCCCAGAGTTGAAAGGGAGCCCGTGGCTTCTTGACTTTCTCATGAAATGGAGGAGGAGCTGTTAGGCATCTGAGGGACTGTGGCACTCACAAGATGGAGTGTCCTCAAGAGGCAGCGCTGCTGACCTGGCATTGACCATGGGAAGCTCAGGCAGGAAGGTGTGTGGCTGTCACCTCACCAGGAAACGAGACAGTCAGCCTGACATCCAGCTCTGCAGCGGCCAAGCTGTGGTGCAGCCAGGCACAGGGACCGCTAATGAGACCACGAGGAACATGTTTTCATGCCTACAGTGGACCGTGACGACCGTTTTAAACCACAGATTTTACACCCACGTGAAACGAGAGGTAGAGCCTTACTTTTCTACAGCAGATCGCTTCTGGGATTTCGACTGGTAATTCAATGCCATTTTGGTTTCCATGCCCGTGTAGATAGCTACACCTGCAAAGAGGAAGAGTGTGATGACAATGATGCAAGTGCCTTCCCGGTATGTTACACACAGCTGTGGTGAAAGTGGGTTCTCGGGTAAAACGAATCGTATTTTTAATTTCACTAGGCAAGCCACCTACTCCTAGTCCAACAATGGCATTCTTTAGAATAAGGACTTTTTTCAAGTATAGAGAGCAATTTGTACTTTATTTTTTCTAAAGTTCACATTTTAATATATCGTGGGCCCTCCACATCTGGGGAAAATATTCCAGGGAAAGAAGGAAGGAAGGAAGGAGGGTGGGAGGGAGGGAGGGAAGGAAAAGTGACTGCTCTGAAAGGAAACATCCTCAGTAGAGGAAAATGGCTGATCCTTAACAAAGGTCTCAGCAGATCTCGTGAAGGTTTTATTTTCTAATCTCTATTTCTGAAAGAAGGAAGGAAGGAGGGTGGGAGGGAGGGAGGGAAGGAAAAGTGACTGCTCTGAAAGGAAATATTCCATCTACCAACTGGGGATGGAAAATATTCCACTAAATAAAATAACAATCCGATAAAGTAACAACAATAAAAATATATAAATTAAAACAACACAGCATAACAATTATTTCCATAGCATTCACATTGCATTGGGATTGTACATAACAGAGATGATTTAAAGTACACGGGAGGATGCATGAAGGTTATGTGCAAACACTACACTGTTTTATATAAGGGCTCTGAGCATTCCTGGACTTTGGTCTCTGCAAGGGGTCCTGAAACCAACGCTCTCCTCCCCCCGGATACCGAGGGACATATGTAGTGGGCTTTCTGTCAGGAGGGCACACTTGTGTATTTTCAAAAGTTTTCTCATTTAATTCAAACACAGGAAATAACCCACCATAGTGAGAGACACTAGCACAGACAGGCACAGGTTAAGAGGAATGTCCTACAGAACTACGTTTTGTGACTTCTTCTTGGATACAACTGTACGTTTTTGAGTCAAAAACTAAAGGCACCTAATAGGAGAGCTGTATTATCCGATGCCACTGCTTTGTGGCTTTCGGTTACCCCTCAACACTGACCTAAGTCTTAGTGAGGCCCAGTTATCGTTGCCACAAGTCTGCAGCACCTCATGCCAGGGAAATGCCCTCAGGCCACCCCTGCGGATTTTAGCTTTCTGTAAGGTATTCTTAATTTAAGAAGCCATTATTAATAATTTACTAATGAAATATTTACCAAAGATTTTCTCGGTGTTCTTGAGTGTGGCTCCTCTAAGAAGCAAGTTCTCTGATCCCAGTGGCCTACAAAGAGAAGGATGATCAGGCACGACCACAGAGCAGACAGAGGACAGCAAGACAGAGATGGCAAAGCCACACATCCGCTTCCCAGATGGGGTCCCAAGAGGGAATGGATGGCACGTGGATGTGCTTCTAGCAGGGTGCCAAGGTCGGCCCAGGCCCTGTGACGGTGCGGTCTCTGTCTATGGGGCAGGGACGCTGCTCAGCGGGACCCTTCCTCGCTCACCATGTGGGCTGTGGGACTTGGGGTCTCAGGGTCCCAGGCCCCCCACTGCTGAGCTGGAGCCCAGGTGCCCAGCAGCGCCCCAGCACTCCCACGGGAGCCCACAAGGGCAGGGGGCCAGAGTCAGAAACTCTGGGCTGGGGCCCAGCAGCCCGCACCCAACACGCCTCAAGTCTGAGGACACCTGCACTGGAGGGTCCCAGAAGGTTCTGCGAAAGCTGCAGACTGGGCTATGTGACTCACACAACTTTCATGTGTTTCTGTCATGTCCCCACTGGGACTCGGGGGTCTCCTTTCACACAGTCACATTCTAAATACGAAGGTGAGGATACTAGCAGGGCTCTAAGAATGGGGCAGCCCAGCTGCAGAGATTCACTCACGCAGGGACAACAAGCCGGCAGTTGTGCCCGTCTGCTGTGGGCAGCGAGCAACACCAAGCAGCTCAAAATCACGCGCTGAAGAGCAGGCTGCACTCTCAGCAGTGAACACGCAGAGACTCGAGTCTCTGCCACGAGGGGCATCATAACCCAGCGGTTCCCTGATTGATGGAAACATAATCTCTTCTCATTTTCGAAGCAGTAAAGGAGAAATGAGCAGAAAAATTCCAATGTGCAAATCTTGCTATTGACAACATCCTCACCATGTCTTCGGGTGGAGGAAAGGTTGGAAGTATTTGTTGAAGTTTGCTTTTAATTTGTGTACTTCATACTCTGCATGATGAATCCTTTTGCTGTGGAGCATTGAGAACCTACTGAGTATTGTGAACTTAAAATGCTTTCAGTGTATTTGGTCGACACAGCTCAGAACTGCATCTGCTGACGGCAGGGAGGGAGGACAGAGCCGCCCTGGACGGGCCACCTCGGGGCTCAGTGTTGCTACCACCTGACGGTCACTGAAGACGGAGTCACTGGGCTGCAGACCAGCCAGTTGTCACCAGACTGTTGGCTTCTGTTAGCAAACTCTTATAATAATTCATGTCATAAGTGTTTATGAAAACAAACAGCCCTTTTGAAAAGAGACTCTGGAAGTCTAAAAATAATTTACTTGAAAAAGTACTTTGCTTCTAGTTTGGACAGAAAGAAGAATAGTTATCACTCTGAATAAATTGAGAATTTGAATGTATAATTCATAACCGTCATACCAGAGATTCATAAACATCTTTAAAAACTCAAATATTAAAAGTCTACTGAAGAGTATAAATACTAAAAAGTACAACTAGACTTAGCATCAAAATACATTAGTAATTATTTTCCTAAGCTGCTCAGTAATAAACGTCACCTGAATAAAAAGCAGAAAAACCTGTGATGTTTACAGTTTCAGATGTGTCCCACAGGCATCATGAATAAGCCTAATTCTATTCACCCAAACACAAAGTAATTCTTACAACACACAGAACTACAGCTTATTTCTCCAAAGTAACTAGGAATTTACCTTTAGAATAATACATATTTAGGAAAAACAAGGCAATGCCTCCATCATCTCTGAAAAGCACAAACTAACCAGTGGACAGATAATGACGATAAAAACATGCTAAGAAGTGCACAAATTATTTCCTTAAAACAATAACATTAGGAACCTTACTAGGAGATGAGCCCCTGGGACTTACATTTCAGAACCATTTATTTTGCACTAATTTCCCATTGAGTTTATTTCCACTTCCGGGAAAATGTTTTAATACACGATGACATACCAGTGTATCCACAGCTTGGAGACTGCTTAAATTGGAAGAAAGATTCTCTAACAAGCAGAGTTTATGGAAAAGGAACAACGTCAAAAACTACTGAAAGCCAATTTTCTAAACTGTAACAGTCAAATACCTCAATAGCAACTACTGGTGGACCTTGAAACAATGTCAGATAAAATATGCCAGGCCCACGAGGCAGGCGCCACCCTCCGTAAGGAGGCTGGCTCTCAGGTGCGGCCATCTCAGGCCTCCAGGCCAAGCGTCTGAGGGCCACTCTCTCCTGTGAACAGGCACTGCCCGACCACCACTGAGTCGTAGGGATGCGGTCGGTAAGCTCACCCGACTGCAAGCTGCCCTGTCACGGACTTGACCCTGGCAACAGGATCCCCTCTTCCCAGGTGGTTGTGAGCCTGAGATAGGCCTTGAGCCAACCACGCACCACAGTGGTGATTATGAGCAGATTAACACATTCCAAGAAAGTGGTCTCCAAATTAGATGTCTTTCAACTGCCTATCTGAAGACATATTGGTACATAAATCCTGAGAATGTGGGATTCTATGCTACCCGTGCGAGAGACGGGCACACACAGGAGTCTTGCAGGAGGACCTTTTTCACAAGTATCATTTATTTAACATGCACAAATGTGTGTTCAAGGGAATGGATGAGACAAGACAGTGGAACCTGCTCCTTTTGCAAAGCAGAGTTGTACTTTCAAAATCTAACGAAGCAGCGAGCATGAAAAACTCCTGTCAATAAAAGAATGAATTTCTAACATAATGACAAAGATGAAAATGGCCAAAGCGTTTGCAAGAAGCACTCACCTTACCACAGCGTCATTCAGATCATTGTAAACATTTATGCGACCAACAAACCTGGCAACAGAAAAGGCAAGTTACTGACTGTGATGCCCATGGTCCTGTCCCTAAGCATACAGGTCCACCTGCCCTTGGCCACCTGCCTGTCCCAGTGAGGAAGCCGTGAGGTGAGCTGTGGTCCTTGCTGAGAAGCCACTGCCTGCAGCTGTACCACCTGGCTCCATTCCCACCTTTCCTGTTGCACTTTCTGTCCCCTATTAGCCATGGCTTCAATGATTTTCCTTAATCCACAAATGACTTCCTCAAAATTAAGAAAACTTAATTTTTCTGCAATAAATTTTGTTCCATGAAGCCACTTCAAATGTTTGCATAAAAAGCTACAGATCTGAATGGTGCCAGTTGGTGAAAAGTAAAGTATTTTTGACTCAGTCTTACTTTTTAAGCAGTGATTTACATTCTATTTCCACCCAACCATATTGCTGCACTACTGCAGGTGAAATGCAAGAACACGTTCAGAGCACGAAAGTGGCAGGTGAGGGGCCTGGGGACCCCGCTTACTTGTACAGATCGGGCTGGGGCTGCTCACATTCCACAGTGGCGTGCAGCCCGTCGATCTCCTCCTCAGTGTGGAACCCCTTGGTGTCCTGGACTGCATAGTGCGTCTGCAAATTGAAAAGACGTGTGACTCACAACCAAAATGACCAACACAAGCCTCACAGCTGGTGCCTCCAACACAAAGGCAGCGCGGGGTTCAACTTTCTGCGCATGTAAATAAGCCCAATTACAAAGCCTGGCTTAACTGCATGAGAGAAGATGCACTTTAAGAGTTTGTACCTGTTAAAACACTTACAGAAAGATACAGTATCACTGAGACTTCCATGTCTATTAGGTGCCAGAAACATCTAATTCTTCCTTTCTTACCCAGTGTCCTCACTTTAAAATTAATAATAATAGAACAAATAGCAGTGCTGCTGGGCATTCTTCAAAATTGGACACTTTGATTTATCTGTCGTAGTAGCCATCAAATAGGAAACAAACTCAGGAGCTAGAATATTCCTCTTCTCTTATCTAATCGCCTACTGCGTACTGGGAGCAGCCAGAGCATCACCCCACTGCGCTCCCACTGCCCTGCAGGAAGCTGCCTCGCCCATCACTGCTGGGTGGCACACGCCTTCTGCCTAACTGCTCACACGGCCTCGGTGGGGGCTCCTCACACCTGGGTGTGTGCAGCACAGTCACCCCAGGGTTTGTTCTGCCCCTGTTCCTGGGCCCCAGCCCAGAGATTCTGTGCAGCGGGTCTGAAGAGGGGCCTGAGAATTACATTTCCAGGATGACCCCAGGTGCTGTGGTACTGCTGGTCCAGGAGCACATTCTGACGTCCACTGGCCTAGACAGCACCTGTGAGCACCAACAGGTGGGCGAGAGGGCTGCACCTGCCCTGCCCTGGGAGGGAGAGAAGACAGACCACTCACAAGGGCTGGGGAGGAGGCAATGGCGACTCTGAATCCTCTCTAATATTTCTTTCTAATAACCAAGTGCTGGACAAATAAAATGTGCAGGGAGTCAGAATACACAGGAGATGTGATGACTGTACCTTCATCACAAAGGGCACCCATTCAGGGGCACTCGTTGTACATCCAGCACTTCAGGAAATGTTCTAATTACATCCTTACAAGATATGTTTGTCCCCATTTTCAGATGTGAAAGGTCCAGAGGGCTAACAAATCTGCCCAGGCCACGTGAGCCCTGCAGGATCCAACAGAGGTAGGTGGACCTTTCCCATGCCCCCACTCTGCTTTTAAGGAAAGGGTTCATATTCCAGTCCCCCAAGCCAAACAAAATATACACAAAGAACACAAAATTAAAATGCAAAGTGCAAAAGTCCAGAAGGCCAACACGCAACAGCTATTCTAGTATTTTCCACAACTGTTGCGACAATTCATCTGAAAAATATGTCACACCAGAGACCGATAGCCTCTGGTCTCTAGTTATGCTGGGACTCATCTGGGCCTGACCGGCCATATTCTTCTCCACGACGGGGTCCAGAAGGCCAGCGCTGCCAGCAGAGGTGTGACTGGCTCGTGATGTCCTCCCTGGCTGCGGAGTGACCAGCAGCCCTTACAGCACACACCTGACTCGTGCAGGATTCCCACTCCCACAAGCTCTGTGCTTATAATCTATTATGGTGCATATTAACTCTCCTGGGATATGCCACATAGAAATAGTGAAAATAAATTTAGCTGAAAAAAAACTCTACAGGGCCTTATACAATATCATGAGTTAGTTATCCATGAAAGATTGGCACATCCTTTGGTGATTTTGTAAAGAAAATCTATAATTCATAGTGAACATTGCCTATGTCTATAGGTATTGTTTAAATATTAATACCATTTTACAATTCCAATTTTATGAGCTAATGACTTAGAAATGGTTGAATCCACTAAGCTATGCTCACTTTCATAATTCCTTAGAAACTTCCAGATTTTTAAATTAATAAACACCTTAAAATTGATAGTGCTATATATTTTTATGATTTTAATTAAAATTTTTGTAGCATCAACTGCCCGTGCAGAATTCTATACTAAGTGCAAGAAAATAATTATCCAGTAATTTCAGAAAATCCTTATTAAGACATTTTCACAAAAAGACAGTCATTGAAGTAACAGGAAAAACATCCAGAATTGTGTGTAACTTCACATAATTCTAGGCTCATAAAGACACTAATTTTGACTATTAAAATGAAAACCTTTAAAATTCCAACAATCTATTTATTAAATCCTTAATTTGGAACATGAGCTAAATGACACAGGCTAACTCTGAAGTTCTTTCTGTGAACCTGAGATGGTTGTTTGTTACAAACATTGAGAGGAAAGAAAAAAGTGGGAAGGAAAAGGGGAGATGTGGGTCAAAGGATACAAAGAAGCAAATACGTGGGATGAGCGGCAAGAGCTCCAATCCACAATGAGGACATAGTTAATAACAGTGTATCATATTCAGGATTTTTGTTAAATGAGTGCATTACAGCTGCTCTTGCCTTGGCCAAGGGAGATGTGTAACTCTGTGGGATGATCGATATGTTAATTTGTTCCACTACCATAACCATTTTACTATATATATGTATCTTATAACATGTCATAGATTTTAAATATACACAATGAAAATTGAGTTTGAAAAGGAAGAAGAAAAATGTGGGCAGCACAACAACTCCCCGAATCTTCACTGTGGTACCAAAACATGCACATTCAAACAGGATGCTAGTTTCTGTGGCCACACGGGAACCGTCTGAGGACAAATCCAAGATCCTGCCCTGGAATCTCACGTAACAGGTGCGTACTTTGTGACTTGATTCTCCGTCTAAGCTGGCGGTCGTGACGTGGCATGTCCCGTCTCCCCGGCTGCTGGAAAGGAAGATCAGATCGCAGGGAAAGGTCTCGTTCTCCTTGACCATGACGATGTCCCCAACCTGCACGGCAGACAGAAAGAGGATGCACTCAAAGTCCCACGTTGGTGAGATGGTGCACCCATTGTGTCTGAGTGTCTCTTCCTAAAGCGTTCAGTCTGTACCCAGGTATCATCACGGAGTTTACCGACAGCAAGACATGCAGATAACAATGCAATTCTAGAAAAAGATCCTTTCCAGACATTCTGCTGGAACCAAGGGGAGACCAGGCCAGGTTTCAATGCAGCAATGGCAGAGCAGAGGAGTCCCCAGGTATGTTGCGACTAGATGTTGTGCAATGAAAATGCAGACAAACACCCGTAACAAGATTATGTTTGATTCACAGCAAGCAGGGGGAGTGAGTTCAACTGTTCTGTTAGAGTGGCTGAGTGGGAAGGATTCCTGCAGGAAGGCTTTGTTCTAAATCTAGGTGTTTTATAACCCAGGCACTAGAGTTCCAAGAGCTTCCTGATCAACAGAACCAAGATATCGCACAGGTTACCAAAGCAGAACTACAAATAAAGCAAAAGTGGCACTAAAATAAAGTAAAAAAATGAATCACAGAATGTTTGTCATATGGGTTTTTTGTTTTTTTTAAAGACTACTCAAGTGTAGTAGTGAGGAGAGGAGGAAGTAGTAGAACAAGGAGTTCAATCTGTAACTGACTGTGAACAATCAAGTGAGATAATTCACTACCTTCGGACCAGCCTGTCATATGGGTTTCAAACAAAATGTAAACATCTAGTTTTATATCGGCATCTTTTTTATTTCATCACCAAGGAAGGCGTCTCAGTGCCTTAGACTGTGTGTCTGGAAGGTACACAACCTCCCAGCCCCACAAGTGCTAGTCCCTCTGGTTGTGTAGACAGTCTTGCTGCCGATGGAAGGCGCTCCTGGGATAAGGGCATCGCTGTGCTCTGTCCACATTGCAAAGGGGGTTCTCTGTCACACTGGAGAAGTATTTGAGGAGGAGGTATATACTCAATAAAATAATTTTCAGACAGTTTGTTTTGCCATAGAAAATGAAACTCATCATTACTTTTTAAATTTATTTTTTTTAATTAAAAAAAAATTTTTTACAGCCAAGATCTCTCTATATTTCCCAGGCTGGAGTGCCATGGTTATTCACAGGTGCAATCATAGCTCACTGCAGCCTCCAACTCCTGGGCTCAAGGAATCCTCCTGCCTCAGCCTCCTGAGCACCTGGGACTACAGGCACATGCACCACATCTAGCTAAAACTTATTTTTTTAGATTGTTAATTGCTTTTAAACCAGGTGAATGTGTCAGTTGTTACTTACTCTTAGCTTTCGACTTTGCTTTCGAACAAGCTTGCCATGCTGAATGAAATGCACAGGACACTGGTTCATGGCATTGTCTGCTTTATGGCGAAGCCAGTCTTCATAACCCTAGAAAGGAAAGGGAGGGTGGCAGGGAAGGAGGGAGGGAGAAAAAGAAATCTCATGTTTAATTATGTATAAGCATAATTCAAGCCTGTAGGAAGTGTATTTTTTTCAAAATTAGGATCACACTACATATACTAGTCTACTTTGTACCCTTGATATAGCATGGGCATTTTTCCATGGCAATTTAGATTGCTTTAAATTTCTGCAGTTTTGTAACTGCAAAGTTGTTTGATAAAGATGTTTATCAAAGTATATCTAAATACTATATAACTATATTTTTGTGCATGTTATGACCTTAGGATAACTTCCTAAAAAGGAAACATCTGAGTCAAAAGATAACCAAGACTTTTAGGCTCTTAATATAAAATGCCAAAAAAGTCCTCAAGAAACTTAGCACCAATTATATTTCTACCAGCTGAATATAAACATCCTACTTGGAGAAGGACAAGCTGACCATACTACTCTTCGATTTAAAAACTAAGCCTTTTATTAGGTCTGGTGACCCAGACTCATAGTGAGCCACCGAACCACTCTGTGACACCCACAGAAGCTGTATAGTTCTCCTTGCACGTGAGCATTGTATTAAGAAGCAAGCATTGGGGCTGCTCTGGCGTAAACTCAGACATCAGCTGAGGTGCTGGAGAGGCAGCCCAACTGGGTTCTCACAGCCAAAAGCCCTGCCGGACCCTTTTGCCTCAAATACGCACAGACGCATACATTCAAATTCTTCCTCAGAGACAAAAACACACACCCTGGTCAAAGAGTTTGGGGTAATATACTGAAAGAAGAGAACAGAAGATACAGAATGTGGAAGTTTTCTAGATTGATTACAGTGCCTTTGCATTTAGGTTTTGTCAGATGTGAAGGTCCCTTTAACTTAAGGGTGGTGGATCACGGGCTGTCTCCAACATCTCCCAGCACGTGAAAGAATGAAAACACAGCATCTAACAGTGTCTACTGCAATGAAATGCAAATACCATTGGTTCAAAGTTTGTGGCAGATAAAGGGCTTGTCTCTAGAACATATGAAGAACTCTTAAAGCTCATCTATAAAAAGACAAATAACCCAAATTAAAAATGGGCACAGGATTTGAAGACATTCCTCTAAGGAAGATGTATAAATGGCCAATAAGCACAAGAAAGGATGCTCAACATCCTTAGTAACCAGAGAGATACAAACTGTGATACCAGTTCACACACACGGGATGGCTGTAATAAAAAGAAGGGTAATAACAAGCATCCGCAAGAACGTGGAGAACCTGGAACCCTCAACTACCACTTGTGGGAATATAAAGTGGTGCAGTCACTTTGGAAAACACTTTGCTGGTTCCTCAAAACACTAGAGCAGTTCTACTCCTAGGTATGAGCCCACAAGAATTGAAAATCTATGCCCACCCATAATTATATATTATGACTTGTCCATTAAAAATAAATACCTGAGGGGAAAAAGAAAACCCATGTCCACACAAAACTTTGACACAAATATTCACAGCAGCGTTATTCGTAACAGCCAAAAAGTAGAAGCACCCCAAATGTACATCAACAGCTGAATGGATAAACAAAGGTGGTACATCCACACAATGTAACATTACTCATTAATAAGATGGAATGAAATACTGGCACATGCTAACATGTGGACAAACCCTGAAAACATTTTGCTAAGTGAAAGATGCCAGCCACAAAAGACCACAAAAGAAATATGAGTATGGAATGTCTAGAACAGGCAAATCCACAGGGACAGAAAGTAGATTAGTCCTTGCCAGGGGCTGCGGGAGGAGGGGTGGAGAATGACTGCTCACAGGTGTGGAGTTTCTTCTTGGAGTGATAAAAATTTTCTGGAACTAGATAGTGAGGTTAAGCCACTAAACTGGATAAACAGTGGGAAAAACTGAGACACGCTCTTCTCCATGTCAGACACTGGCTTTATCTGTCAGCACTAGAAAGAAGCAGGATTGCACCTGCGTGAGTCCGACGGGCTGGCAGGTGGTACCGTGATCCAGATCAGAGGGCTGTGAGCATGTTCGGTGGTCAAGGCCACTAGGATACAGAAAGGCCATGCGACTCATTGAAACCAGGAATCATCTCTGGTGGATTCAGGATGTGAAAACCATAGTTTTCTTCTCAAACTCAAAGAGCACCAAACCAGGAACTAGATTCTAAGACCTCTCTTATTTCAACTCAAGTATCAATCTAAAACAGCCACAAAAGTGAATCTCTAGATCTTAATTAAATTTTACATGAACAGCTAAAACAAGCCAGATTCCCTTGCTTTGAATGCAAGCCCATTCACATAGGAAAGATGGCGACTTTCTTCTTTTTTGTCTGTAAAATGTTTACCTGTTTGATAGCTGTGACAGTAATGACGAAGAACAATGGAAGTCCACTCGTGACGGGACTTGTGGGTGTGTCGATGATCAACTGCAGCGAAAAGATAATTGCGAAATTGTTTCATGAGCACAAACCAGTGGCTGCTACAGGTTGGTTTGCCCCAGCCACCATTTAGCCTTTGCTTTCACTTATTTAAAACACTTTGCAGGCACCCCACTTCATCCACTGCTAGAGATAAATTAGACAGGAAATATATCATCCCATTTTACTGACTTTAAAACTGGGGGCAGCTTTCTTTAATTAAGTGGGGTGCTTAAGAAACCACATTTAGCCAGCGGCAGACATGGTCTGGTGCTGCACACACTTGTGTCTGTTCACTCCTCTGCCCTGATGTCTTACTTTAATTACATCATTGGGATAATTTAATGTTGGGGAAATTTTAAAAGTCCTTCAACTGTAGTTTGTATGATTTAGAAAAATTAGATTGCTGTTCTTACAATCCACCTGACATATCACTCCCTAATTCATGCCCTGGCTGGGTTTTTTACTCTTTCTTCCTTCCTTCCTTCCTTAACTTCTTTGGATTTTCTTTGGCACATCCACATGTATTTAGGAACAGTACAAATTAGTGTAACAATGTGTAGCTCGGCTTTGAACTTCTAGATTACAAAGCTCCCATTTCCCCTCCAGTACTGGAAGGAGAGTGGAGAAAGGTGGCCATCACCAACATAAATGCAAAGTGACCTCCTGTGTCTTTTAGCTCCTTGGGGTCTCACAGAACTGACGTACGTTGTCCTTAAGAAAATAAATGAACGAATTGTATTAATAGATGAAGGGCAACAAAATCCTCGCTCTTTTATTATCAAACTGCGTGCAACTACCTGAGAATAAAATGTCACTTACTAGCTTTGAGTTTGATGAGATGCCTTACCTGTACCAGAAATATGATAAGGAAATAAAAGTTGGCTATTCTTCTGAATTGTTCAAACAAGTTCTTGGGTATGAAGTTCCAAAATGTGTACTGCATAAAAGAAAAACAAAAATGTGTCATTTAGATCATATTCTGGTTTGTGCAGCGTTACTCCACCACATACTAAGAAGCACTAGATTTCAAAGTTCAAATGTTTAGCTTTAGATACAAAACTCATAATGCATAATTTAGGGTGTTTGTTGACATTTTATCAATTAGTTGACCACAAAAACAAACTGCTAAAACAAAGTGTTTACTCCAAAACTAGCATACGTACCTTACCCAATTCTGGAGAACTCTAAATAAAATGCAAAGTAATTCAACGACAGTTTTATTATTAAGATGTCTTTCATAAAATATAAACCTGTAATCATTAACTCAAAAAATTAGCATGTTTATTTCATTAATTTCTTCATAATCTGTCCTTTTTGTGACAGTATGACCAGGTGACGACAGCACACTGACATGGAAGTCTCAACCCAGCGTGGAGGCAGCTTCTCTGCAGCCATGTCCTGTATCCTGTGTCCCTGGCCATGCCTGCCAGCCCGAGCCATCCCAGGGAATGGAAGGGAAGGAGAGAGGCGTGTCCCGCCACCACACACTCTCCAGAGTTTTCATTTTGCTTTGGGAGGAGAGTTTTCACTTAACTCTATGTTGAAAACAATGTGCCAGATATCATGAACCTGTAGTGAACACTGAGTTTGAAACGGTTTTTAAAATTCCATTTGACACGCTTTTGCCTTTTAATGAAGACCATCTACTAAAAACTGAAGGAGTGCCCTGCATGGCCTGTGCTGGGGCCCTCCACCATGGGTCTGCCTTTTCAACAGTGCATATTTCAAATTCCCAATGGGAGGAAGGTGTAGGCATTGGCAGAATCCAGATGTGAGCTGTCAAACTCTCATCCCAAGAACTCCTTTAAGGCCAGGATCACAACCGTAAGTTCTTTACAACTTAACATAATAACCAAAGCCTGGTATGGTCCTAAACTATCCAACATATCCTAAATTTGGTTGTTAGCCATTGATTCCATTTCTTTAATTGATGTAGGCCTACTCAGATTATCTTTCTCCTTGTTTGAGTTTTGGTAGATGGTGTCTTTCAAGGAATTGGTCAATTTCATCTAAATTATCAACTTTATGGGCAGAGAGTTGTTCATAATATTCTTTTTTTTTTTAATTTATTTTTTTATTTCAGCATGTTATGGGGGTACAGATGATTAGGTTACGTATGATGCCCTTACCGTCCCTCCCCCCCAAGTCCGAGCTTCAAGTGTGTCCATTCCCCCGGAGGTACGCATCGCACTCATTGTTTGTGCATACACCTGTCCCCTCCTTCCCCCTCCCCCTCCCCCTGCCCAACATCCAATACATGTTATTCTTATATGTGCACTTAAATGTTGATCAGCTAATACCAGTTTGATGGTGAGTACATGTGGTGCTTGTTTTTCCATTCTTGGGATACCTCGCTTAGTGGAATGTGTTCCAGCGCTTTCCAGGAGTATATAAGAGGTGCTATATCACCATTGTTTCTTAAAGCTGAATAGTACTCCATAGTATACATATACCACAGTTTATTAATCCACTCATGTATTGATAGACACTTGGGTTGTTTCCACATCTTTGCAATTGTGAGTTGTGCTGCTATGAACATTCGAGTGCAGGTGTCTTTTTCATAGAGCCACTTTTGCTCTTTTGGGTAGATGCCCGGTAATGGGATTGCTGGGTCAAATGGTAGTTCTACTTGTATCTCTTTAAGGTATCTCCATATTGCTTTCCACAGAGGTTGCACTAGTTTGCAGTCCCACCAGCAGTGTATGAGTGTTCCTACCTCTCCGCATCCACGCCAACATTTATTGTTTTGGGACTTTTTGATAAAGGCCAGTCTCACTAGAGATAGGTGATATCTCATTGTGGTTTTGATTTGCATTTCTCTGATGATTAGAGACGCTGAGCATTTTTTCTACGGCCACACCACCCTGAACACGCCCGATCCCGTCTGACCTCGGAAGCTAAGCAGGGTCGGGCCTGGTCAGTATTTGCATAATATTCTTTTATAATCTTTTTGTTATCCATGTTGTCAGTAGTAATACCCCTCTTTCTTTTCTGATATTAGGAATGTGTAATTTCTCTTTTTCCCTTGTTTAGCCTGGCTAAAGGATCATCAACTTGATTGATCTTTTCAAAGAACCAGCTTTTGATTTCGTTGATTTTCCCTACTGATCTGTTTCCAATTTCATTGATTTCTGCTATAATTTTTTAATTATTTCTTTCCTTCTGCTTACTTTGGATTTAATTGCTTCCCCCCCCACACCAGTTTCCTAAAGTGTAAGTTTAGCTTGTTGATTTTTTATCCTTTGTCTTTTATAACCTATGCATCTAATACTATGAATTTCCCTCTAAGCACTGCTTTTCCTTCATCCCACAAGATTTAGTGAGGTGTATTTTCATTTTTTGTTTAGCTTGAAATATTTTTATATCTCAAGACTTCTTCTTTGATCTATGTGTTATTTATGAGTGTACTGTTTAATCTCCAAATATCTGGGGATTTTTCAGTTACCTTTCTATCACTGATTCATTTCTAATTTAATTCAATTCTAGGCTGAAAGAATACTTCATGTGATTTCTATTCTTTGAAATGTTAAGGTGTATTTTATGACCCAGAATGTCACCTCTCATAGTAAATATCCCCTGAGAGCTTGGAAAGAGTGTGTATTCTGCCATTGTTGGATGGAATATTCTATAAATGTCAATTAGCTCCAACAGCCTGATGGTGAAATTCAGTTCAATTATGTCTGTACTGATTTTCTGTCTGATGGATAGGGGTGATGAAGCCTTCAATGATAACAGTGGATTTTCCTAGTTCTCCTTCTAGTTCTGTCAGTGTTTGCCCCACACATTTTGACTCTCTGTTGTACATACATATTAAGGATTGTCGGGTTGTCCTGGAGAACTGACCCCTTTATTGTTGTGCAATGACCCTCTTCACCCCTGATAACTTTTCTTATTCTTAAGTCTACTTTGACCGAAATTAATATAGCTAATCTTGTGGTCTTTTGGGTAGGATTAGCATGGTATACTATACTGTCTTTTGCTATCATTTACTTTTAATCTAACTGTGTTTTTATATTTAAAATGGCTTTCTTATAGACAACATACAGTTAGGTGGTTTTGTCTGTTTATCCTGATAGTTCCTGTCTTTTAATTGGTATATTTAGACAATTCATATTTAAAGTGATTATTGAGGCTGGGCATTGTGGCTCATGCCTATAATCCCAGAACTTTGGGAGGCTGAGGCAGAAGGATCACTTGAGGCCAGGAATTTGAGACCAGCCTGGGCAACACAGTGAGATCCCATCTCTACAAAAAAGAATAATAAAGTGATTACTGGTATAGCTGGATTAATATTGACCATATATAACTGTTTTCTATTCCTTTCTTTCTATTCTTTCTTTTGTTTCTTCTACTCTTTTCCTGCCTTCTCTGGTTTTAATTGAGCATTTTATATGACTATTTTGTCTTCTCTCTCAGAATATCAATTATACTTCTTTTTAAAAGAGTTACTTAGTGGTTGCCCTAGAGGTTGTGATATACACTTCCAAGTAATCTAAGTCCACTTTCAAATGACACTCCACTTCACATGCAGTATAGATGTCTATGACAGGGAACCCCCAATTCCTCCCTGCCCTGGGACACTGCTGTCACTCATCTCATTTTTCCCCAAGCAATCAATTTTTTCTTAATTTTTAAGAAACATATATTTGATCTTAAATGGGACATAACAACAATGTCAGTTACTTTCCATTAACTTTTAAAAGGAAATAGAAAAGGAATATAAAATTTATTATGTAATCACATCATTTACATCTACTTTTCATGTTTCTGTGATGAACATGGAATGATATTCTTCACATATTTTCACATAATTCCTTGAAATTGTCTTTAAGGCCCCACCCCATGAAACCAACCTTACTTTCTAGCACCCAGGCCAACATATTTTCTATTAATTAACCAAAATATTTCCCCAAATTTCTATAACACATCACTCAGTAACAAAGCTACATTAATGAAAAAAGTTTCTACTCAAAATTCCATCTTTCATTTCAATATTTATAGGTGAAAATTACATGCTACCTAGGATTTCCTTTGAAATAATCCTTGAACTTTTATAAAATTGGATGCATAGGAGACAGGCTGGCCACAGGTTGGGGTGATAAGCAGTAGAGATTTATGATACACTCTCTTTACTTTTATACAGTTTTGACAAGTTTCTGTATTAGGAAGTTTTGATAATATACATGAGATAAGATAAAATAAAACAAATTATCATCTTCTATGAACCTTCCAAACGTGCAAATCAAGTTTTATTAACCCTAGAAGGCTATGCAAGTATCTGGACTTGCTCTACTTGAATGTTACTGCACAGCTTTGGAATTTAAAACCGCTAAGCGGTTACTTTATTTAATCAGGCACCGCTGGCCCTGCTGCAGCTAAGACCATAATGAATGTGGTCAATATGACACTCTATACTCACCATGTTCTACAAAGTTACTAGTGCTGATCATTAGTATCCTCAAACAGAAGGTTATTAACTCCTGATCATGTACAATAAGAAAAGTGAAACCCAATGAAATAATTTAAACTTTCATTACTGATATGTCAGTAATACGTGGACAAAATAAACAAAACCAGCATTTCACTGCACATGTAAGAGCTGGCAAGCCCACAGTGGTGCACTTCTTACACACTGTTCATCTTTGTTAAATCGTAACCATCTAAATATTTGCCTGGATACGTGACCACAACTGAGGTAGTATCAAGTACTATTAATATTAAAACCTCCCACTGTGATACAATCAGTAGAAGTACTTAATCCTGGAAATTCCTGGTATCAAAGCCACAGCCCAGAACCAAGTGGCTTTTCCTTCTACCGGGAAACTGGTAAAAGTGCGTGCACCTCAGCAGCTCCCTGCGCTCAACAGACACTGCGCGGTTTGCTGAATGGTAATACACAATTAATCACCCCTTGCATTTCTCTCACTTGCAAAGGACTTCATGCCTAGTCTACACAGGCTTCCTGTAGTTTTAATCCTGAGCTGAGAACACCTCATCAGTACTTGAGCATCATGTTTCTGTGCCTCCCATTCTTCTGTGTAAGCCAATCCCTGGCTTTGTGTCACCTGCCTGGAGTTAGAATGAGTGCAGCCTCACCTGGTATCTTCAGTCACGTGGCAATGAGACAACCCCTAAGAGAAACACCCTGGGCGGGAGCTGCCTTGCCAGCAACCAGGACATAAGATGAAGCATCTGGAAACTGCCCTGAAGCTTCAGCTATTATTTACCTGAAAAATGGATCCAGCACCACAGGTGCGCATGTGACTGTCCTAAAAACGACCTGGAGACTGGGCACTGGCCTACTTGGATTACAATCAACTTGCACAGAGTTGAGGTTTCTCTTCCATTTATAATTACAAACTGGGAATGGAAAATATGGAAAATTATGCCAAAATTCTGGGTTACTGATGTTAGAAAATGAATGAGCATCAGGACGGGCGATGCTGGGGCTATGGCAGGCTCCCCGACGGCGGGGTCAGATGGTGGTGGCTGAGGACCGGCTCACCCGCTTCCTATAGCCACGGGCACATTACTGTGCCCCAAGCCTCAGTTTCCTCCTGAGTAAGTTGGGAATAGTAAGTGATAGTGGCCTCACAGGGTTGTTTTAGAGCTTAAAGGATGTGATGAACATGGAAGTCACTTATACAAAGGAGTCATCAAGATGCTGTTTCTATCTCCTACTTGGTAGAGGGAATATTCCCCCAACAATAATGAGAAGTAATTCAACTTTGTTGAAGGCACAGAGTGACAGTATAGACTATGCCAATATTTCCTTCTCCAGCCTCCTGAGGGCAAAGCTGGGAACCACGTGGACTTTGTGCCCTGAAGTACAATTCTGTAAGTCAGCTGGCAGCTACCTTTCCTTGGGTTCAGGATCATTTCCTTGGGTCCCAGACGGGGAGCCAAGCCGGCCTGGGGGGTCTGCATGCGGACAGGACGCAGGAAAGGGGTTGTGCTGGGTGGTAATTTCTGGATTTTCCTTCTCCTACCAGACACTGCCCAACGTCTCTCCCTCAAAAAGGAAATGGAGCTCTAATCAGTCACTGATCACCAACAACTGCACTTCTATCAAAGAGATTAGAAGTTTAAAGTAATTACATTGGCATTTTCATACACTTTTCACGTAACAAGTGCTTTCACACCTTTTGATTTAATAAAGTAAACTTGCTGAGTACAGGCTTCTATGACACTTAAAAAGGCTTCACTGTCAGTTTTTTTTTAAAAAGTAAAAACAAAAATTTTCTTAACACAGATACATTACCACACATGTACTTTCCAAAATCAGTTGTAAACTGATATTTAAAAAATTAAATAGTACTTTTCATACATCCTGAGATGTTAAACAAATAATATTAAGAGTTCTCAATTACGTGTTCTAGAATCCCACCTCAGTCCGTCCACGTCTGCACCCCCACCAACCCCACTCCCAGCGTGGAGTCTAAACCCACACCTGTCTGAAGCCTTTCCCTCCTGGGCTTCCTTAGCAAACAGGTTACATCACAGGTAATTTTCCCTTGAAATTACACGTTATCATCCACTTGAAACTGAGATCAAGCCACAGATCCTGGCTGTCTGAAGAATGAAGAGAATTCCACACATACCTCTGAGAGCACAGTCCCTGCGGAAGCTGCGATGAAAGTTGTTCAAGGGCTTTAACCCTGAGCCATCCTCTGCTTGGCTGGGAGGCAGCGAGCCCCGACGCTCTCCTAGAGGCCTGTCGAGCTGACGCTGCTAGTTCCTGGTCTAAAGGAGCCCTCCCAAGGAAACCACTTCTAGGAGTCCCTGGGAGCCCACAATAAACGAGCAAAACCCACCGTGGTGGTGCACGCTTCCTTGGTCTGAGACACAGGGGTGTCTGGGGGCTGGGACTGCAGGGGGCTGTGGAGAAGAAGGGGCCACGGAAGACGGGGCGGGGGCAGGTAGCTCAGAATCATCCTGGGCCACTGTCTGCAGGGATGTCTGGGGAGAAAACTATAGAAATGGTTAACAGGCCCTGAAACGTGAATTAGACAGCAAAGGGCCAGAGTACATAGAGAAATAGCTGCCCTCCATTGCTGCCTCCAAAACCGTGAGGAGGGCTTTTACAGGAAGCATCCCTCAGATTCCTGCCATATCCCACAGGCAAGAATATCCTGACTGCTCTCATCAACCAGCATGTGTATGAAACTTTCCGTACAGACGGGAAGGTCCAGGCACTTGGGACCGTCAGGGTTGAGTTCTGTGCCTGGAGTTTGTGCCGAGGACGAGGTGCCTTCGCACATGCCCTGTGTGGACCAGACGCTGCATCGCACAGCACAGGTTTCCCTCCTGTCCACCTGTGTCCCTGAATCCTGCCCCTACAAGCTCACGTGTGACACACACAAGTGTGAACTAAGGAGGCCTATCTCAGGGGGTACATCATCAGCACCCCCGTGAGTGTGTGTCTGTGTGTGCACGCGCGCGCGTGTGTGTGTATGTGTGTGTGTGTCTTCTCGGGCTCATCTCTTTATGCATCTGAAGGAGAAAGTTCTCTGTTATCTGGAAGCCGTCACTTTTCCCAAGTTCAATGCCAGGAACTAAATTTTCCGCCCTATTCCTAACACCCACTTTTCAGGTCTCTCTAACTGTGTAATACACAGCTTTGCATTTCCTTTTCCAGTCACTGAAGAAAAAACACACCTCATTTAAATCATGGCATTCAATTCACATTTCTTCCTATTTGCATTGGTTGCACCTAATCGACAATCTTAGATTCTTCCATGTTTTATCTTTCAGGGTGGTTTTTGCTGGGGGCAACGAGTACTATTTCTATTTCACACATGAGGAAGCTCCGGCCCGGGGCAGTGAATGACAAGCACATGGCAGAGAGCAAGGAAGTAAGCACGGTGGTAGGACTGAATGTCCTGGACCTCAGACTGCACACTATATCTGTGATTCGATTAAAAGAGAATACAGACAACGTGTTGAGACATCTCCACAGTCTCCAAGTGTCTGGGGATAATCAGAGGGATAAAGACGCCAGACACAGCCTCCGTCCCATGCCCTCGGCTGGGAGCAGCATGGCTCGGGGCTGTGTAGAGTCCCAATGTCCTCCTGGGCAGTATCTTTAGATGCAGAGTAAACACTCAGACCACAATTACCTTGGAGGAGACTATCCTGTTGTCCGGGTATCTCTGCGGGATGTAGGCCTCTGTGCCAGGAGGGGGCTCCCTGTGCCCCACGTAGATGGTCCGGCTGTCTACCCAGTTCTCTTCCCCTGCACACTGCGGAGAGGAGGACGATGTCAGCAGTTGACTCAGAATCTGCACATAACACTCCTACCCAAGGTGTTGCTTTAAATGGTTGCTCCTCTGAACAGAAACCTGCACCTGCTGACTGAGGCCCTCGTTCTGGGCTGTAGGGAGGCCTAGTCCCCAGCTCCATGCCCGGCCACCTGCCCTCTTCAGCCCTGGGGGGCCAGATCCTCAGATGAGCGGTGGGAGCAGGCTGTCTGTGCCCCCACGAGAGGCACAGAGAGGATTCGTGTAAGAACATATTGCACGGCAAAATCTCAGGGCTTCCAAGACAGAAAGGCAGTGATATTGGGGAAGGTCTTTAATGAAAGAAGACAGTTACGTTATGGTACAATATGTAAGAATTATCTAACTGATCAGGTATCTAAACTCAATAAGGCTTCCCAGGAGGAGAGAGGACCTGAGTCTGACTCAGCTTTGTGTTATAGTGCTGTACTCAGAGGCCTCAGGTAAACAACTGTTTTCTTTCAGACACACTCATCTGTGCTGTATGGGGTCAGCACTAAAGTGACAAAGATACTTCAGTGAGTGAAGCAAAATACAACCTCAGAACACATAGCCCTGCCACATGATTCAGGACCCATCTCAGAACACACAGCCCTGGCATGTGGCCCCGGGTCCACTCAGAATACGCGGCCCTAGCATGTGGCTCTGGGTCCCACACCTCAATTCTCCAAAGCTGCAGTCCCCAACCCCGGGGGGGCCGCGGACCGGTAAGGGTCCCTAACCCTGTTAGCAATAGGGCCACACAGCAGGAGGCAAGCAACGGAAGCTTCAGTTGTACTTACAGCTGCTCCTGACCGCTGGCATCACCGCCTGAGCTCCGCCTCCTGTCAGATTAGCGGCGGCATAAGATTCTCATAGGAGCTCAAACCCTACTGTAAACTGCACGTGCAAAGGATTTAGGTTGCGCGCTCCCTATGAGAATCTAATGCCTGGTGATCTGAGGTGGAGCTGAGGCGGTGATGCTAGCGCTGGGGAGTGGCTGCAAGTACAGATTATTGTGAACAGAGACGTTTGACTACACAGTAAGTGTAATGTGCTGAAATCATCCCGAAACCATCCCCCTGCTCCCTGGTCCATGGAAAAATTGTCTTCCATGAAACCTGTCCCTGGTGCCAAAAAGGTTGGGGACTGCTGCCCCAAAGGAACTTGAAGGTGTCAGCTTTTCGGGGGTGTAACACACAGAGCTGGAAAGGAGGCGGAGATTCTCAGCTGGACAAAAGCCAGCGGGTGTAACAGGAAGACAGTGGCGCAGGCTAGAGTCAGAAGCACTGGCCGAGGCTCTAAGCCAGTCGCTAGGCTCAGGCACAGCAGCATCTTGGAAGTTCGTCCTCCCTGGGAGGGGGCAGCACCTCACCCAGCATTGCCAGGAGAAGGGAACAAGGCAATGGGAAGGGTGCACAGCAGGGGCCCAGCCCGACTCCTCCTGCCACCACAGCCCCTGCCGCTTTGAGTTCTCTTGCTTTTTAAAGCCAGATAACCCAGTGACCTAAGCAATCCAGCATTTCTGTGTCTGATACTCCTATATGCATGTCTTACGCTGATCCTTTTTTCAGTGTTGTTCACACCATCCTCTCCTTTGCTCATCTATGATGTCAACCTCATAGGAATGGCAAGTCAGTTCATGCTGTGCCCCAGCACATCTTGCATTAGCTGCAGGGCGTTTGCACATTTCCCTTACAAATTCCAACAGTGAGCATACATTCACCTGTAATCACTTCCATTAGGACCCAGCTTTGCAAAACAGCCGAGGTAAACTAAAGGGAAAAGACGGAATCTGTCCCATAAACCCAACCTGTGTTGTCAGAGGCATTCCTGCAGGGAGCCAGGGACCCTGAGACCCTGCAGACAGGTGTAGACATGGCTGGGTTGCATCTACAGTTAGGGGCCTGGCATGGCAGGTGAGCCATAGGCACTTTCCTCAGCAGGAACTTGTGGTGTAGATCCTCTAAGCCGCCGCTAGCTCTGTGATTAACTGTTGTCTCAGACTCCAGGCAGGTGGCAGCTCGGCCCTGCTCCTCAGCCGTGCCATAGCCCAGTTACCCCAGCCCAGAAAGGCCGGGCCTTCTCCCCAGTGCCTTCTCTGCCGCCTTCCTATTTTGTGGTGAGTCCTGCAGGTATAAGGGACAGTGACTTACAGACCTTCTTAAGAGCCTCATAAATAAATTATGACATACAAAAGCTAAGGAAAGTCCCTGATTTTCCTTTCTTTTCTTGGAACATAGCCAAAATGATGCTTCTCATTCCTATGTCATCCTTCCAGCTCTAAGATTCTGCTTCTTTGTACAGTTGCAATGAAAACAATCCTATGAGCTCTGATTGTATAACTTCTTAGCCAACTAACTTAGCCAGTCTTGAACCCAAGGTTGCCAGACTGTTCACAAACTGGAGCACAGACAAGGTGGGAGTTAGTTACGCTGCAGGGAGCCGCTTCCGAGACAGAATGACATGGGCAGTCATGACTTGGCAAGGCAGGGAAGTGGGACACCAACCTCAGTTCTCGGTGTCCTTCTAGGTACTGCTCAGCAAGCCCTGTGGACTCACCCCACAGAGCCTGAGAGACTGCCGGAGCTTCTCATCACCTACACAAACCCAAAACCAGGCACTCAACTGTCTATTCATCCAGGTTTCCTGAAGAACAATCCAGCGGTCCAACCACAACAAGAAAGCCACCTGGCACGTCCACTTGAAGGCTGCTGTAAACTCCAAGCTGAGGCAAAAATCTGTACAGCGGTGAATGGGGCTGAGCACAAGACACAAAGTTACAAACCAGAACATCCTGAGCTGTTCCCAGAGGGGACATACAAAACTGTACACAAATGTTCACCGTTGCATTACTTAGGGTAGCCAAAGTGCAAGCCTTTCAAACGACCATCAGCTGATGACTGGATGAACGAATCCAGATATTTGCACACAGTGGAGCATTCATCAAAAGGAATGAAGTACTGATAAGTGATAGAACATGGATGCACCTGAAAACATTCTGTAAGTGAAAGAACAACATATACTATGTGGTTCCATTTACACAAAATGTCCAGAATAGGCAAATTCACAGAGATAGTGGTCCCAGGGGGCTGGTGAGTAACCGATAATGGTTCCTTCGGGGTGTGAAAATATTACAGGTTGGAGGGTGGTGATGCTTGCACAACTCTGAATATATTCCAACTTGAACCAATGATTGTCCACTTTAAAAGGGTGAACTTTATGGTATGTGAATTATACTTCAATAAAAATATCATAAATATTTTTTCGAAAATGAAAGGCATAGGCAGTTTGCACACACACATAAGATCATTATTTCTATAATTTCTTATTCTAGGAAAGTAAGAGGTAATGTTTACATCAACAGAGTACATGACTCATCTGTACGACTACCGTATCATTTGCTCTCTTTTCAGCTTGCCTTTGGCTCAACTAGTCAGTAACTTTGCAGCTGCAATTCCAGAAACGGGAGTCAAAGGGGACACGTTGCTGTGAATCACCGAGACTCAACTACCTGAACATCCTTCACGGCTCCTTCTCTCAATTCTGTCTCTGAAGATACTTTTGACATTTGGGATTGATCAAGTGCTGCCTGAAAAACGCAAAATCTTTGTCCTCACACATGGCGCTGTGGCTTTCTGACAGGCACCAAGTGCTTGTGTTTGGTGGTTGAGCAAAAATCCCTCAAGGAGCTGAAACTCCTGAAGCCACAGCACCAGCTGACTGCAGGGCAGTGCTCTCGAGAAGGCACCGGCCCGAGACGCTCAATTTCGCAAGGTCTATGGCGTGATGCCGCCACTGTGTGCTAACGCAGGCAGTGAGAGACGAGTTCCTGCTCTTCTACTCCAAGGCCAGGAGCTGGACTGCTCACCTGCAGGTCATTTGACTGACTTGCTCCCTCTAAATGCAATTTGGCATCACTTCCCACTTGACAGTTATACCAAACCGAGGAATAGCACCAAGGGGGCCTGGATTAGAGCATGAAAACGTCACAAACCACCGACTAGCAAAGTGGTTTAACGGAGTTCAGTGTCATCCAGCACAAATATGCTTTTTTTAATTAGTGACAATACTTGTCCAGGCTGATCATGTGACCCTCTCCACAATTACTAATGAAACTGCTAGAAGGAGCAAATGATAGTTCTAAGGGAATCACAAAGCAGACAGCCCTAAGGACATTGCTTTCCTGCGCTTGATCTTGGTGGACACGTCGAGGGATCAAGCATCTGTCCTGCACTTTGACTAAGCAGCAAAGGGGACCCGAGGAATTGTCAAAAAGGGTGTTGATGGAACTGCCAGTGAGGCATCTGAGGACACAGGTTCATGGCTGCAGGCCCCTGAGAGGAAGAGCACTCTTGGGGACTGGCCAGGGGAGCACATTTGGTTTTCTCTGACTGGTCCCAAGTTGGAAGTGAGGGCAAATTCAGGGAGTCATTCGCTAAGCCCTATGGGTCCTGGCCGAGTGCAGAGGCAGGCGTCAGAGCCCCACGGTCACAAGGGGGCTGGCCATCGTCCCTCTTTGCTAAGGACACTTTCATTCATATTTAGTGGGGCATTATGAAATAATTCCAACATACAGAACACTAGAGTATAGAAATAAATCACCTGGATTTAACAAATGTTCACATTTTTCCATATTTGTACCAGACCAATTTTCTTAAAAACAGAAATAGCCTTAAAATTCACATTTTTAAAGTAAGTCATTTGAAAGTATTTACCTCTTCCCTCTTTTTAAAAATGTGGGCAGCAGGTGAGTAGGAGAGAAAAAAGACCCAGTTACCTAACACTCCTTAGGGGAATGGGCGTCCCTGGATGCATTTTACTCCTGGGCAAATACAAGTCCTAAACTACTAGGCTAAACGCAACTTTGCAGTCAGGAGTGCAGGCCCATTGCCCCCCAAACCTAAGAACACATCAACCAGTGAAAACCATCCCATTTGCACCCCACACCTTATGCACTGGTAGGTGACGCTGAGGTGGTCAGA